GATGGCGGATTGCATCCCACGCGACTGCACCAGTACTGTGACTATACAATTGCCTGCGACGGCACACCGCAGTGTATGAAATAACACACTAAAGTCACAGCACTTGATACGTGCGACCACCAAAGCGCAGCCACAAACGAAAACACTGCAAAGGTCCACAGCCCTGGACTAAAACACAACGAATGAAAACCACGTTATTCATAAAGCGACCGCTGGTAAAACTGAAAAACAATAAAAATGAATCCGCTGGACAATATCTAATTGCCTCGAACGTACATTACCAAAGGTCGATTCACAAACGAAAATTAAAATACTCAATAACGAGGTTTGAATAAAATGGCTGCAGACGTACGAAAACTTGACAATGAAAATTAATATGCACACCACGAAGACACATAGACGAGAGCATAGAAAAGAATACTAACACTTTACTAAGTTCATAATATTATCTACACAGTAGGAAAATAATACAAAACATTATACAAAAACAAGTCCGCATTTTAAAGTTGTCATGAACAGTCGATAATAAGGTGAAAAGAATACGCGCGCGAACATAGAAAAGAATGCGATGGACTGAGACAACCGCGATAGTGGCGCTCCACGAGTTTGATGTAATAAACTAGAATACCTAAAATTGTGTTACCACAGCTTGGACGAAAGAGAGACGGCACTGGCGACATTCACCACGAAGGTGGTCGCCGGACACCACAATGAAGATAAATGCCTCAGTGCCACCACACAAAACTGAAAAACATGAGAAATTAATGACATTTTGTGGCACTGAGAACATGATTTTGACTTTTACTTAAACATAACCGGAAAAAACTTGAAAACGTGCAATAACGAACATTTACGTGCAATGATAATAATGCGATTACGTATCCGGCCGGTCGCACACGGAGGCTTATCATCACCTCTTGACGATGGCAGCGGATACGTTACGCACCGCTACGCATCGCACGAAAATGATATCACAGAAACAAAGATCATGCCATGTTGGTAGGAATGGCAATTTTTTTGTGAACTTCGATGTATCGATTTATTTATTTCAAAACATCGATGGTGACAATATCAACAAATTAAAAAACATCGAAGTCAAGAACACGATGCATTTAGAAAAACATCAATGTTTTTTAAAAAATAACACATTTTATAGGACAAAAATTATTATTCTTTGCCATAGCTTACAAGCAGTGACGGTGCTAGAGTTAGCGAGGCCCTGGGCAAAATAAATGTTGAGTCTTATAATTGATATTAATAAAATATTTTAAGTTCAGTTAAATCAGAATCGCAGGGCCTTAATTATAATTTAAGGCTCGGGGCCATGGGCAATTGCCCCTATTGCCCACCCCCTCGCGCCATCCCTGCTCACAAGCTAAATGAATTATAAACAATTAAAATTTAAATAAACACAATCAACTCAATTGATTTACTCATTTATTAGAAAGATTAAAAAAAAACATTGTGTAAAAAATGTAATTTAAATTAAATGAATACAGTTCACAGTCAATAATAATCACAATATATTCGTAAGCAGTGGCGTATATAGGTTTTCATTTGGGTGGAAAGGAAAGAGAAAGCACACTATTACGAAAAAAATTACTTTAATACTATTAAGACTTCTCGACAGTCTTTACACCATCAGAAAAATAAAAAACTCAATTTTTTTAATGATTTATTATTTTTTAAAAGTATAAAAACTACATTGTAATAAACAAATTTTTTATTAGAGTCACTCAAAATTCACCACATATTTTCTTAAAAGAATAAACATATTTTATAAATATAAATATTTAAATTATCGCATAAGTAACATTCTCAATATCGCGACAAATTTTCGGAAACCCCCATTAAGACATATCCATGTTAAAAATAACAATCTTTAACAATGGTGTTTTTCATTTCGGAGGGGGGCCGGGCATATTATTATGAAGATCAAGATACAGTCATCCTGACTTATTTTATTAATCAAGTTAATATTAAATTATAATTATACGCAGTGGTTAGTGGGAAAAATGTTGTGGGGGACTACATTCATAAAAAATTGAGGAGCGTTTCCCTTCCTAATTTTAAATCTTACCAACCTTTTTTTAGGAAACCCATGAGGTTTAAGCCTCATCTGTTACATGGGTGTGAGTGAGATGCGGCCCGGCGTGTCGTTTCCGGTGTTGGAGACCGGTAAATTCCGGCCCGATAATATTTTAGCCGTAGGTTAGTTGCGGCCCAACAATATTTTAGTTATAGGTGAGTTGCAACCCGAATAATTATCATTACCTATGTACCTATTGGCTAGTAACTATATTTACGATGCGGTGTTGGCTATACATTTAGTGATAAACGAATTGTTCGATACGTATAGCAAGTTATATCTTTATATAATATAATGCAGATAATATAGATCGTTTTATTGTATTATCTGCCATATGACTTACATTAACTACGTTAATCGGATAATTTCAAATGGCAAAATGAAAATTACTATACGGTGATATTAATTTACGAATATTTTATTTTTATTTATATTCTTGAAATGACAAATATTAATAATATACGACAATACTAGAAAATACGTAGTATTAATAAATTTATATTGTGATGTTTAAATACATGTACTATGTATAGTATATAAATTATTGAATGAGCCGCAACTCGTACGTACCTCTCATAAACCTGGGCCGTAACTCGAACGTTATTTAGGGTTTGGGCCGCAACTCACCAACACCGTGTTACACATATGTTCATAAAACTTTATTTTCATAGGGTGTAAAAACTAATTTCTCCCCAAAAAAAATAATTCTATACATATGCCTGCTCAAAAAATAAATAAATTGAAATACATAGTAGGTAATGTTTAAAAAATTTAACTTAAATTTAAAAAAACTAAAAAGAAACAATTACTAACTTTGCTAGTTGTTGGTCAACGTAAACAGTATCAAATACGTACATTCAATGCTGTAACTGGAAAAAAATTTCGGGGGGTCTAACATTATTATTTAATACAATTTATAGTTAATAAACTATATTCACAGCTAAATTGTTTCTACTTTTGAAAATTTCGGGGGGGGGGGGGAACCCAGTTACGGCCTTACGTACATTGCACATAAGGTGTGTACTGTTTATATTATAAGAGTGCCTATCCTATCTGTATCTCTATCTATCCGTAATTTAATATTTATACTATTTAAAGTCATTCTATTTAGTTTATATTTATTTTAAATAATAGTCGATGTCACTATCACTTTAATTTTAGAACTATGGGTAATAACCGCTCGGGGATCATCTATAACTAAACACAGCGTTAATTAAATTAATCCATGGTGTATATTATCTACCATTTTTGCTTATCATTATAACTAAATTTTATTTCTTCGAAATTTTGTCCAAATCAAGATAATAAATTTCATGTAATATTATAATATAATAAGTATTGTATATTTAATATTGTATTTTAGTGACCAATGCCATTAAGCGTTCACTTAGACTTTTGGCAACTTAAATTAAAGAGGACGCATACTTACCTTAAATAAGAAGGGGGACTCCGTCCCTCTCTGTCCCCTCCCACTGTAACCACTGGTTATACGTATATCTATATTTTATTGTTTGCAAATGAAAAATTTTAAAAATATTTTGTGTAATATCCTTAAACATCGGAGATAAAGCAAACATCAATAATAAAACATCGGGAAACGTGACACAGCGATGCAAAATATCGAAACTTTACCATCGATGTTATACATTGATTTTTTTAGCTTAAAACATCGATGTTTCCGAAACATTGAAGTTTTTTTGACATCTCTACATGTTGGCGCTGTGTTGTCAGATTGGACAGTTTCTCGGCAAATGGGCTACCTCAAAGGTCCTAAAATCGCCCAAAATTATTAATTGGCGTATACACGCCAATTAAGCTATTATTTCAATATAAATGGGTGATTTTGGGCGCCTTTTTTTTAACCTAATATCGTTGACGGGAGATTATTTTAAAATAGGCTCCTGAAGCCACTACTACAGAATAACTATATTACCTATATATATTCTGTGTCAGGCACGTAAATGGATGCTCATTTTAAGGGGAGTCATTAGTGCCATAGTCAGGGAAGGTTTAGAAGTTAGCTCCCTCATTTTCCTAAAAAAATGATATCAGGATTAATGATGAAATAAAAAAAAAATGATAAAACGAATGCACCGGAATACGACGTTCGGGTATTGATGATAAAAACAGTTTTTTGTTGTAGTTTCGGAATTGGTTACTGTATTTTGAGTAGAGTGACTATCTTGTTGTATAATATATCTAGTTTACTTGTTCTATGTATGATCAAGACCTAGCAGTAAGTAATTCAGATGGCAACCACAGTAATAAAGTTCAAGATTGTGCATTAGAAAAAGTGCTTAATTTAATATACATAAGAAATATGAATATATAAATAAATAAGAAGTGCTTAATTTACAAGTGTTTAATGAACATGAAGATTATACTGATTATAGTGTGTACATTAATAATGTGTTGTACATAATATTTTTGTAATATAACAACTTAAATAATATAATAGAGATATTAAGTTCATGAACGAATAGTTCATTTGAACTATACTGAACTGTTTCAGTACCTGTAACTTAAGAGTTCACAGTTCGAAAAAAATTGGTAGCATTGTATAAATGAAATAGTTCGCGAACTTCTTTAAAAATTCTCTGTGGTTCGTTGTTCGAAATCCTATAAATGGTAAACAGCTATTTACAATTAGATAAGAAATACCGAATTTCCCATAAGTAGTGTGAACTACTATTGAACTGTGTACTGCTGTAGTAATAATGATAAAACGAATAGTTTATTGCCAAACAATATCAGTATGATCAATAAAATTAGTGAACTACGTGAACTTAAGAATAGTTCATCTGTACTATTCACTTGAATGAACTGTAAACTAATGAAATATTCACAGAAATTAATTAAACTTTCCATCTCTATAATATAATATAACAACTTTAAGTTTAGTATAAATTAAACATTGATATTGGCTATATTGGGCTACCTGACTTATACTGGCTCTACTGGCTATACGACTCAAACATTATCTGGCAACCCTGGTTGGCGCGAACACATTAATCTTATTGTCCACATTTATACGTTAATCTTATTTTCCACGATTTATTTAAGTTGATCGATTAAAGCATAATGGATTACAATGTAAGTATTAATTATAATATAATATATTATACAGGTCACAATATTAGGTACTGATTATATTTAAATAAGGAATGCAATTATTTTGCCATACAAATTTTAAGTCTATTTTTGAAGTATTAAAATATTGTGTGTAAAACTTGTTGAAAGTACAGTATATGTATTTGTAAATTGGAATATATATGTAATACCCATTATTATATTTATATAGAATATTTGAAATTTTTCTATTATTAAACATATTAAAGATTTTGACTATATGAAATAATTTTATTCTAAAGGTCATTTTTTCAGTCCATAATATTTTTTTCGTTATTGTTAGATAAAATATAATGTCTTTAATATATTACAATGTTTAGTGTTTATAACTTTTATTATAATTAAATATTTTTATAGTAGGTACTATAGTGCTGTAGGTTTTCTTTCATAACTTTTAACAAAATGTTAGAGTTACTTTGTTACTTAGCCACTTTGTTCATGGCGAATTATAACATTAATTCTTTATCATATTTTGTTGTGCATGATAATTTCTATATTGTATTTTAGTCTCTTGGTATTTCAACTTTTTCATTATCTTACTAGAAGTTATAGGTTCTATTCATAACATATAATAGTAACAAAGTATGTTCATTTTCATGATAACAAGTCCATTTGGCAGATGGAATCTTAATAATATTCCTATTGTATCCATTATTTTGTTCTTGGTATCTTTGTAATAGTACAATTATTTTATCTGCACTGGCAATAATAACATTGCTTAAATTCAGCTTTATTTAGATTTATGTTGCTATATCTAATTGAATTTTGAAAATCTATGTTTAGAGACCGATGCATTTCTTTATTTTGATGTAGACATTATTTTAAACTTGTGATATTTTTTACCGAAAACAGATTGCCATAATGTTGAGAATTGATTATCTCAATAATTTTATTTGGTCTAGCCAGTATTTAAAAAAAAAATTAGCACATATTTATTTATTTAATATTTATTTACACTGCTGTAATCCTTGCAATCAAAGATTTTTTTTTCTATTCTGTTAATATGAATTTCTGTCAACTACCATCTCATGAAACCACATCAAAATTTATATTATCTGTAGCATTTAATTCTAATCTTCTCAAGATTTGGTAATGGTCCAATACGTGACCTATGTCTTAAATGTATAGTACAAATAATTTTAATTAACCTTTTTATTTCACTTCTCAGTGTCGTCAATAACTGTATTGTTTCATTCCATATTCTTATGAAATGTCTTTTATATTGGTCAAAAAGTTATCAATAATGGTTTTTGGATTTTGACACGATCTTCACTACTCTAGGAGTTGTCTATCTAGTACTATCTAGTAGACGCTTCATTCTTTTAATATTATATTTGAATTTTATTATTGTCCATAAGTCTTCAATTTGTAGAGTATGTACTCCTGTTTCCGAATCAATAAAAAATTGTAAATGGTTAACTGTTTAATGAGTATATTCATGATGATTTAATATTGAGTATGCTCTCCATTGATCATTATAAATTGTTCCATTTTTTATTTAATTTTTAATAATTTGTAAGAGTTTCTCAGTTCCAAAATACATAAATATATTCTCATAAATAGAATAAAATGCCCACAATGACAATAACTGTAATAACCAAACATGTAAATTAACACAATCTTATCGGTAAGTCGAGTAACATTTGTAGGTTGCATATTGGACCGTTACCCAAGATTTGTTGGTAACTTTAGTTTATCCAAATTTGTATCAAAATTTAACAATGTTTTTACAGACACTGGCAGTCGCACCTTAACATTTATTTTTAAATCCAAATATTTTACGTGATGTCAAACTAATAATGATTATTTGATGGTGACGTAAAGAATATAATTTTGAATCAATTGATATATTGTTTACCTTAAAAAAAATTTTCATACCTTTAAATATTTTTCTTTTCTGATTATTTGTTCTATAAATGTACTTTTGTACATTCAAGGAATAACATAAAAATTATAGCACGGCCTAGTGCATAGGCAGACATTTAGTTGAATTTTTGTGGAGGGGGCTATAATAATTCAATGTAAAATAATCCATAGGGGCTTCGCTCCACATCTCCTTCCCATGCACAAGTAAAATTATTACTATTAAAAATATAGATATTTAAATTGTATTAAAAAAAATACACTAAATAACGTATATTTAAAAAAAATTAATATTTTATTTTAATGATAAATATCTATTTGTATCAGCAAAGATATTCAAAATATCACAGCTTTTTTTTATTTTTCGATACCTATATCTTTTTCAATATATAGTATTGAAAGATTGCTGAACCTACCTTAAACCAACGATGTCCTTAGCTAAGTTTTTATATTTTTTTTTCATCGCACTGAAACTTCTTTCGCAAGTAGCCGAACTAATTGGTTTTGTTAATGCTATTGTAAATAGTTTTGTTATTATTCTTATTTTACAATTTTCAAAAAAAAAAAAAAAAACAAATATAAAAACAATGAATAACATTTTTAACAATTTTCGATTTTGATGGAGCTAAGCCCTCTTCCTCTTCATACGAAATAACAATATAAATTATTAATTTTACTGATCTTTTTTACGAAAAATGTTATAATCTTAAAAGTTCTTTAAAAGATTGACAGGTGGAGCATCATAACCAATTAAGTTCTTTGAACAATTACACAAAAAACGTAATAAGCTAACACATTCTTCAAAATTTTAACACATAGAACAACACAAATTAAACCGTTCATCAAACTTTGAAAATAATGTTATGAATCAAAATTATCTTTTGACTATTTTGAACTTAAAATTATTTAAGAATAATAAGTACTTTAATATCAAAATCAAAAACTTGAATTAAATTTAGTCCTATCTTTACTAATAACTAAGATAAAGATTAAAAATATACCTCAACAGCATAATGTGACTTTGAAAGAACTAAAAAAGCTTCAGCCAAAATAAATCCAATAGCCGATCATTTATTTTTGATAATATAAGATGATATACTATTATGATGATAATATAGGTAATAAGTTATTATGAGTAATGATATAGTAGTACATATATCCATATTCTTGAGAGCTTCCAAATTTTTTGGGTATCTCAACATCTTCATCAATCTCCGTGATTTGTTTATAATTGATTTTATACTTTCTATTTTAAATACATCTAGAATCGATAGTTGTAAAGTATGAGCAGCACATTGCATACTCCTCAATACCTCCAATGTACTGACTGCTGTACCTAAATCGTTGAAGATTGAAGGCAATGTCTCTTGATTATTTTCATTTTCTTGTTCATTTATTATATTATCATTATCAGAAACATTGTTACTATTTTCTTCGTTTATATGAGCTTGATCATTTTCAAAATTGTGTTCATTTTCAGAATGTTCAAGAAATAGAAACATTATTCAAGAACGTATAACTTTAAAGAATTCGAGAACATATGACTGTAAAACATTCTTCTGATTAAATGTTCAAGAACGTATTATTTCAAAATATTCTAATTAAATGTAAAGGAACTTATTATTTCGATAAGTTTTTTTTAATTAAATGTTTAAGAATGAATAACTTAGCAATGTTTATTTGGTCTATCATTCAAGAACTTTACATTTTTTTACATTTTTCTAGTAAAATGTTCGGTGAACCATTTAATTTATAACGTTACAATCTAAAACCATTTGTTGAACATATTGATTTAACGTTTTATCACAAATAAAGATCAAAAACAAATTATGGAACTGAACCAAAAATGAACGGTTAAGGTGACCCTGGTCCTAAGCTTGTTGTTGTTGACTTATTGGTTGAATTATTGGTTCTGAATTTATATTAGAGCTTTTTATTTTATATAAACTTAAGAGATACAGAAACATTAGTTATTTTTTTACATTGTTTGCAATATTTATTTATTTATTATTGAATACTAGATATGCCCAATTACAATGTATAGTATACATAATAACTAAGAGAAAATTACATAAATAAAAATAATTACATAAATATTTCTCCCGTGTACATTTGAAAGTTGTTCCATATTTCATCCTGTTCTTTATATATTTTTTTTTATTGTATATTAAAAGACTATTTCATTTTATTTTTATTTTTTTTATTGATGAAGCCACAACTACAATGGTTATTGGCTTAATACATAAATAGTAATATTAAATTAAATTGTACATTTTTGTTAATTTTAAAAATTTAAAAATTTTGTAAACATTTTCCGGATCTGGACTTAGTGCTTGCTGGAAGTTGTCGGATATTTCTAGACTGTCCTTGATGTCTCTATATTTTAGGCAGTTGCAAATTCCATGTTTGACTGTAAGAGTTACTCCACAAGTGGGGCATAGGGCAGGATCCGTTCTGTTCATGAAGTGTCTGTGGGTCAACCATGTGTGGCCAATTCTTAATCTGTTGAGGATTACTTCCTGCCTACGAGGTAATGATGTAACTGGCCATGGATATATTGAGGGTGTTATCTCATTAAGTTTGGTGTGCATTATTTGCCATATCTGTTGCCATTGATTTGTTATAGATTTGTTAATTATGTTTTTGCTGTCTTGTAGGGTATGGATATTAATTTGATGTGCATCAGGAGAGGTAATGGCTTGTTTGGCGTATGTGTCTGCTAATTCATTTCCTTGGATTCCAAAGTGGTTTGGCATCCAATTCATAGTGATTGATTGAGATTGGAGTTCTAAAGACGATATTTGGTTTTGAATCTTTCTGCTAATGTCGTTAGGTTGAAGATAGTTTTGGATGTTGGTTAAGGTGCTTAGAGAGTCACTGAGTATGATGGATTTAGTTATTTTATTTTGTTTAATGATATCGAGTGAGTGAGAAATTGCGATGGCTTCAGCGGAAGAAATTGTACATGAGCTAGGAATCTTGATCATTATTTTATTCTCTTTGTAGTCTTCAAGCAATGATTGTAGTTCACTGTTATACGTTCTTGGTAGAGTTTTGCTTTTAGGTAGGTCTGATATTGAAAGATTTATATCTATGTTTAAGATCCATGGGGGGACTATGAGGTTTTCGTGTTTAATGACCCCGGATGGGTCGATGGATATATGTAGAAGTTCGTCTTTGATGTATTTCATTTTATTATAGCATATAACAATATAATAATACGCGGTCTACAAATTTCCTACATTATATGAACATAGTTGCTGGTTGTGATAAAGCCTTTAGTATTTTTATTTGTTAGTAATAATGTAACTTATATCTGTTTTTAGATCCAATTATTCATCTTTTTATTTTTAATAATTTAAATACAATTTATTATTTAGAGTATTGATGAAGATGATGTTGAAAAATTACGTCTAGCTGCTCTAATGTCTTTTAAGAAAAAATCCAATGTACCAATAAATACAATAAGTGGTATATCTGGAAAATGTTGTCAGAATAAATTCGCCACTTGCAATTCTTTCAATAACCCTTCAAGAAATAGAGGACGGTTTCCTGTATCAAATAGACCCTATAATAAACGCATATATCCAAATGTAAGTTACTATTAATAGCATTTTAGATGTACTATTTTAGATTCTGAGCGGAGTGAGAAATGTAATGGTTTTGCTATGATGTTAATTTCTTTTTTTTTTTTTTATTCTGTCAACAGTTTTTCTCCCTCTAAACTTGCTCAAAAGTATCAAGTGTAATATTTTTTCTGAAAAGTAATGTTCTTGAATTGGAACTTTAAAGAGGTCATTTTTCGATTTTCGAAACAGTACTCGAAATAAAAACGGTTAAAGGAGAAAAACCGTACGATTTATAATATTAAATAATTACGGACAACGTTTTCTATCAAAAATATTGTTTCAAATAAAAAATGACAAGAGATATTTTTTGTTGTATTTTAGATTTTGTTCCTTATGTTTAAAAGTTCGAAAAATTTTAGCCATTTTTGAGCTATTAATTGATATTTTAATTTTGGGAGTTTTTTTGTTGTAATTCGGTTAAAAACATTCGTAAAAACTTGAAATTTGGGTTGTTTACTTATATTATCCTTACCTAGACATGGTAAAATTTTCGAAACATTTGAGTGACTTTTGAGCTTTTTCTTTTATTTTATATATTTTTTTCATTTTTATGATATTTCCTAATTATAAGGACGCCTTCACACGTAGTCACTTAGCAGCGCTGCTAAAGGAGAAATACGAACACATACGGATGGTTTCACACACGACCACAGCCACTGATCTGAAGCGCCACAGACGGCGTCAATGGTTGACTTCGCCACAGAACGGTGCATCTAAAAGTCGTGCTTCTCGAAACAGAACATGTTTTTAGATTGGGGGTTTCACACGCAACCACAATCGCGCGTCTATTTTTGTAGCTGGTCAGCAGCGCGTTAGTATTGCGATTAATCCGTATAACGAGTTCAATTATTATTTTAATATCAGTCTTTATTGATCATTCCGAGTACTGTCAATAGCTCTTATTTTTTATTTTTGATACCAGATAAAAGTTCTTTGAATGTATTTTTTAACATACGAAAATATGAAAAAAAAAATTTTCATCATCTTCTATGTCATCAAATAGTGTATAAATAATCCTCTGTTCGGTCTTTCCAGAAGCAGTGGATGTACCCAGAATTTTCTTGGTGTATTTTTACATTTTTTTATTTTTTTAATTAATAACATCGCTAGCAATAATTCAGTTTCCACGTCCATTTTGAGACTGATGTGGTATGTTTTTGTCTTCACAAACTGTCTACCGATACACATTCGTAGTACCAATAATTACGCTTCTAAAAATATGAGCAGTACCACTAACGCGCTTCTAAAAACATGAGCAGCGCCATTGATGCGCTGCTAAGAAGCGCTGCCAAGTGGCTACGTGTGAAGGTGCCTTAAATTATAATTATATAAATCGTTCTTATGCTATTCTTAAAACTCTTTGTTTATCACCATAGAAACAAATAAAATTAAATAAAAAGTACCTCGTTCTCTCAGAATTGTTTCTTATTGAATGCAATCATTACATTCAAATTAAATACAGTAAAATTGCACTATCCTGTCTGAGTTATTTATATATGATGATTATTAATTACTCTATTTTTACAGCTTACTTTTCAAAGATCTTCTCATACAAATAATAATTTAATTGCTATTATACCAACTGATGGTGAAAGTGCTAATGATTTAGTATCAAACAATTTACCTAAACCTTCTAATTCTAAAGTATTGACTACTGATGGAACAAAGACAAATGATGTTCATAATTTGAATGATGGAGGTAATTTAAATTAGATATAGAGTATTATATTTCCATTAAAATATAAAGTATATATAAGTATTTAGATTGTAAAATGTATGCAAACATTTACTTATTTATAAAACCAATGACAGTCTAAATTATGATGTGGCACAATAATCAACAACAATTTTAAATTGACCCTTTGTTTACATATTATCCAACATCTTTAAATCCCAGACCATATGACCCCATGGAATTTTAGAGATGCAGTCATGCCCCCACAAAAAACCACTAATCATTTACTTACCAAAACACTGTCGTAACCAATAGCCTAAATTGCCATTTAAAATATAAAAATAAAATAGTTATTGTTAATTCCTAAACTGTTAGTATTTATTTTTAGTGAATGTAAATATTTATTACCTACATTTTAATAACAAATAATATAATTACTTACATTTAAAATTTAGTTTAATTTAATACTTAAAATCTTTTAATTGTTTTTATTTTTTAAAATTGAAATTTTTCATAAATTATTTAATATATCTATTTTTCTTCTTCATGTTCCACTTTTATTGAAGGTTGAAAATAATCATGATTATATGTTTTTTTGCCCTTAATTGCACTAAATAGTTCCTTAGTGTTGTATTGGAACCACTCTAGCCAGCTTGTTCTAGGTCTTCCTCTGCTTCTCTTCCCGCAAATCTTTCCTTGTGTTATGGGCTGCAAGAACTGATATTTTTTACCCTAAGCACATGTCCAAAATATTGCAAGTTCCTACATTTTATAATCTTTATCATCTTTAGATCTTTACCAATTCTTCTTAAAACTTCTGCATTTGTAACTTTGTCGACCCAAGATGTGTAACATAATCTTGTCTTACTCCTTTTTTATTTTTATTTCGTCTGGGAAATCGTTGTCTACTTTAATTTTAGCAGTTTGATTCCAATAGAGATTTGAAATTATTCGTATATCACGGCTTTCAATATATTTATCCTTTAATATTTTTATTAATTTGTCATGCTGTATGTTATCGAATGCTTTGGTAAAATCTATAAAACAAGCAAAAATACTTTAATTGATATCCAAGAAGCACCTTTGCATAAGGGTATTTATACTGAATAATGCTTCTCTGATCCCTATTTCTTGGTTTAAATCCAAACTGCATCATACTTATGTCATTCTCCTATTTAACATATATTCTTTGATGTATGATCTTTAAAAATAATTTCAGGGTATGGCTCATATTAGGGCTATTGTTCGATAATCTAAACGTTTTTTTTGGGGTGATTTTTCTTAGGCAATGTAATGAAAGTTTATGTCAACCATTCATCTTGATTATTTCCTTATGCATAAATTGTATTGAATAAATCAACTAACTTTCTATGTTATCATCATCAAACAATTTTAACAGTTCAGAAGATACTTCATCAGAGCTTGCTGTTTTTCTTGATTTGGCACTATTTTGTATATTTGTTGTTTCTTCTTTCATTATATCGAATCTTTCATCCATTTTTATGCTACTTTATTCTGGCCTATTTTGAGAGAATAGTTCTTGTGCATATTCCATTAATTTTCTAATCCTTCTTTTTGTATCTTTTATTATACTACCATATTTTTCCTAGAGTGGGCGGTATGTGAAATTTAGCCACCAGTATTCGGTATGTATTTACATACCGGTTTTTAATGGTATACCGGTCTATCGGCGTATATCAATAAATACCGAGTGGATGATAAATAACGCTCGTTCGGTAATTACCGGTCACTCGGTAATAATCGCTCGCTCGGTATGTATTGCTTGCAGAGTAATTACCACTCACTTGGCATATACCGTTTGCTCGGTATATTCTACTCGCTTTGTATATACTGCCCACTCGGTAAATGCCATGTAAATAATAAATAACTCTAATACCGATTTTAAGCGACAAATTGATAGATTATCGTTGAGATTTGAGAGAATAATTAATTTTATTATTATTTATGCTCCCAAGAATAGGAGCCCCCATTATGTGTCCAATTTTGTTTTCAGTGGTTTATCTTATGATAATCAGATAATATAATTTAAGATTAGCTGGTGAAGTTTGGTGTCCCACTCATTGTTTATAGTAGTTTTTTCATTCCTTAGCCGGTCTACATGAATAGTTCATAATAAATACTATAAAAGTATAAAATATAATGCCATTTAATAAATGTTTGATTCATTTTGCACTATCGAATATCCTATAATGTATTTTTATTAAACGCCATATGCCCTTGCGGCTGCCGTGTAAATAGTGTATGAAATTGTCATATTTATTATTTTTGTTTTTTGATAATGATTACTGATCCACGGTAAATTACGATAAAACGGTAAATACCGTACATTTGATATATATATCATACATTCGGTATATATATGTATAGTATATACTGAATGTTCAGTAAATACCGAAAGATCGGTATATTGGCTAGTGCAAGACGTTGATATTTATAAATACCGGTGACTCACCGGTATACCAAAAATATCGTCAACTCTAATTTTTCCCTTATAATGCCAAATTTATTTTTCCTAGCATCTGCGTAGTAATTATCTGCGATTGAGGCATAAACTTGTATCAGATTAATAGTCCTTTTATTACAAGCAATATTAAGCATCATAACCCTTTCTGATATATGCATATATCCAGTTGTAGATTTATCCACTATGATAGCAACGTCATAGTGATGTCTTAATTCACTGCTGCTTAAATGATATAATTTGTGTTCACCATTTTTTGTTCAAAAATTACTTAGCTCTCTCCACTGTGTATCACTCACTCTAAGAATGTTGAGTTTTTTTCTCTCCATTTATTTAAAAATATTCTCCAACTTTTCATCTTCAACCAAACTCCTCACATTCCAAGTTGTAATCTTCTGAGCTGAGTCTCTGACCATTTAAGGTCTGCTGGGGACTGAGAGCCATGGTTATAATTGTCTCTGCCATGATAGATTTATACTTGGAAAAAATAATATGGTGGTTTTACGTTGCCTTCTATGAATGAGACCATACACTGTATTCAGTTTCTCTCATTTATTCATATCTAAGCCTTTCTGACATTCTTGTATCTGCCTTGTATAATACTAATGTAGCTGCTGCCCTACATTAGAAATTACTGGAATCACTCGTTTGGAGCTTTTCACCAGTAAGAGCTCAGGGTCCTCGGCGTTTGCTAAGCCCGTAACACAAGGTGTTCCCCTAAGGGAAGAAATATATCTATACATATTATACGAATATTGTAGTTTGAATAAAAGTTAAAAACTATTGTATAATACAGTGGTCAGCAAATAATTTTTATTGGAGTCCTAATGATTAAAATAATAAATCAATGAGGTTCAGTGATAAAAATCTTTTTCAAATCTATATAGCAGTATAAAAATAAAAATAATTATTTGGTTATTATAATTAATTTATATTAAAAATTACAATATTAGGAGTATGAAAATAAAAGTTGTCAGGGTCCAGATTATTGCCTTCTGCCAGTTGCCGACCCCTGGTATAATATTTCAAATTTTACACGCTCTTATAGATGTAATTCTGCATGTAAGCAATATTCATATATTTTATTGAATATTTATGAATAATATAGTACTTCTCTGTGTGCGAGTATTTAAAAACACGCTAAACATTATTTAAATTGTTGCTTACTTGTTACTATAATTACCATCATGGTAAATCAAAGCAGTTTGAATATTTAAGTTTTACTAATTATTTTATAAGGTAAAATTTTCTATTTTAATGCAAATCCCTAAAATAACTACTTACTTGACTAAATAGATTAAAAATGTATTTTATTTTAAGAATATGTATTATGTAAATAAGTTTTATTATATTTTCTTGGTTTGTTACATCATTTTTATTTTTTATGTTTTCAGTTTCTACTAAATTCAGCAGGTTAGATAATGATTCTGGTTCTGAAGAATGTAAAGACAGTGAAACAGAAAGAGACGGACAAGAAGAATCAGATGATGGTGATGTCTTATCCCTTGGTGAAAAAGATGAAGATTTGGATGATCTTGAAAAGTTAATGGATATTATGGAAGCTGAAATTAATGGTGAAGATGTTAAACCATCAAAAAAAGTTAAGAAAAGTATAAAACAAAATAATAGAAATAAGAAAGAAAAAAGTACAGAGTTGAAAATGAAAAATAAATTAACTGTGAAAGTTGATGAACCAACTGTTATAAATCCACCTAAGGTTGTTAACAATTTAACATCTCTAGTTAATCCACCTGAAGAAGAATTAGAATCAATTAAAACTCTAGAAGGAGTAAGAAATTCACCAGCACAATGCATTCTATTAAATTCTCGTATTCCCTTAAAATCGCCATCACCACGTAATAGAAAGAAGTCAATATCTCCTTACAGTAAACTTCGAAAAAGATTACCATCAAGATCTCCTACTCCTGATAGATATAGATATTCACCATTACGTTCAAGGCCCTACCGTAGATCCATATCACTCAGAAGATCGCCTAGAAGATTATCACCTTTAAGGGAAAAAAATCTTTCTCCGAGGAGATACTCTCCCTTAAAGTCCCGATATCCCTATCGTTCACCATCTTCAAGGAGAAGTCGTAGATCTCTATCACGAGATATTTCGCCAAAAAGAAAACAACTGTCTCCATTAAGGAGAAGTAGGTCTCCTCTTAAGATTAAATCTAAGTCAAGGTCACCTAAAATTAGAACTATTGTTAGAAAAAGATCACCTAGTCCATTAAAGAAAGTAATTAGATCAAGACCTGTATCCCCTAATATTCGCCTTAAAGATAATAAAATCTTAGATGATGAATATTTGAAGAAAAAAGAAAAAATCAAACCTGTGGATAAACAAATAGAATCCAGGTCAATAGATCCGGTTTTAGAAGCAAGAAAAAGAAAATTTGAGTCCAACAAGTTGGTTGAACCCTCGAGCAAAAAAATTATTTTAAGGAAAACTAATTCAATTCAAGTAACAATTCAGACTGAAAATAAAGAAATGCAAAATAAAAAGAATGAACCTGAAATAAAACCAAAAACTATGCAACTAACAAAAAAATTAAATAAAATTTCACAATCCTTTCCAACTCCTAAAAACATAAGCAAAGAGATGAAAAAGGATTTGAAAGTAATAAGATTACAAAGAACTGTTAAATTAAATAATTCTCCAGAAAAAATAAAAGATAAAAAAAGACCAAGAATTGTGTTTGGACATGATGATACTAATGATTTGCTCATTGATCAAGGTTTGTATACATATTTTTGTAAATATTTATTATGTATAATATTTATATTATTATTTTCGGTAATATTCTATTAATTTTTTATTTTTAGAGGGTAGATTTAACTATCATAAAGAAAAAAAAAAGAAAACAATGGTAGTAGAATCTGAAACTTTAGAAGTATCTAGTGCATCTGAAGAAGAATCTGAACCATCAGTAGAAGAGATGTCTGAAGAGAATGAGGAAGACGAAAGTGATAAAGAAGTTGGACAAAAATCTAGTGATGATTATGAAGAATATATTGAAGAAGATGAAGGAATTCAAGAAAGGCAGCAAATAGATGATGAAAAAGTAACTATACAACATAATGATCTTGTTGATCTAAGAACAGAGTTAAAAAGAAGGAGGGCTCTTCGTTTAAATACGGTAAAATTTAAACTATCCTATTTAATTAACATAAATTAATACTTCAAAAACAATTAATTTTCTCTTTCAAATTTTAGATTCAAGTAGAAGTTAAGAAAAAATCTGAATTGTTTTATCCTGCTCGTTTATTACAGTCTGCAATTAAAGGTGTTGTAGGATCAAGGTAATATTTACAAACTTAAATTACAATAATTATAAATTTAAAATAAATTAAATCTTTACTTTTAATCATTTTATATTTAGTGTAATTTTTATCCATTTTTTTTTTTTTTTATAATTGCTAATTTTTTATTATTGAAATATACTTATTTGAATTAATTTAGAAAAACTTTACATTTGAAAATGTATTGATTCGGTACTTTAAAATGTTCATTTTATGAATTTCTAAGTACAATACATTTTAAAAAATAAAATACATAAATTGGGTAAAAATTAGTGTATGGAAACTTTTGGCGAAAATAATATAATTGTATGGGTTGTCCAACTGAATTTATCTCTACGCAAACCTAAATTTTACCTAAATTTACCATAAAAATTAAATAATTGATTGTTGAGGAATGGAATGTTTTGTTTGATAAATAAATATGCTGATGTTTAATATAATATTTATTGAAATAATTTTATAAATCAAAATGTAATGCATGGAAACTTTTTTGTTACTGACTACAATATACAGTTAGTGTCAATAATTATAATTTAACGTTCCAAACTAGTTGTGTATATATATATATATATGTATACAAATGAATAAAATAATATTATTCTACAACATATTTTTAAACTTATGGTTAATTTTACTAATCCGTCAAGTTTTTTTACTTAAATTAACACGTATTTAATATTTTTCAGTGGTTCAAATGAAGTAAAGATAAAAAAACATTCTAAAATTCCTGAAATAAGTATTAAAACCAAAGGTATACATACATTTTTTTATTTATTTAGAAAATACGTATTTTAATCTACATAAGAATTATTTTTTATAAATATTTGATACAAGTTAATTTTTTTAATTGAACCATAGTGTTCATATTTTGTAAAATATAGCTTGGTTAAATAAAAAAATAATAACTTTGTTTGCATATACAAGTATTTTTATAAACTTATGAATCTTATGTTAATATTTTTGTAATTTTAAATACATTTTATTTAATATTACAATAAAAAGCATTTTTAGGAAATTTTGATGGTCAAAGAATTATTGTGATGAATATTCTAAGACTAGAAGATACTTAAGTATTTTATTTCCAGAAAGTAAATTTTTTTCTTATACATAATTTATAAACTAAAATTATTTATTTTAATAGTCTTTAATTTTTAAATTCTTAATGTTTTCCATCTAATTTTTTTTTATACTTAATTTATTTAATATATAGAGCAGGTTCAACTAATGTATTAATTTTAACATAGTTTGAAAAAAAAAATAGTTTATAATATGTTTATTTTTATTTGTGTTTATTTAGATCAAAAAGTTTATGACAGTGAAGGAGAATCTTATACAAATGTCAAAAAACAAAATGCTAAATTAAAAAAAGGTCCCATGCATTTAAGCACAGTTGTTAATAGTGGTAACACAATTCAAAAAGGATTTAAGAAGATCAAAAAGTGTAACATTAATGTTACAGATTTCGATCAGGTATTTTATATCGTAATCACATGCATTTTTTCTTATTGGTCATATTATTCCAAATTCATACAATATTTTTCAAAATTCGATTTTACTGTAGTTAGTTTTAAATCATAACGAACTGATAAAACTACAATTTTTTTTTTTGTAATATTGTTACTTATTCATTATTTATTTTTATTCGTATTTATAAACCTTAGACATATGTTACTTTCTATTATTTAATATATTTTATATATATATATATTATAATTTGTAACAAACATAAATTGTTTCAATCAAAAATTATCATGCATATATTGGATAGATTAGAATTTTGATAATTTTTTTACTTTTATTATTTGAGAGTACACCACATTTATTTAGTTATGAATCATAAAAATGTTATTTCTTTTTTAATGAAAATTAATTTAAATTCATTCATATATAAGAAAAGTTAGTTGTTTTTTTTTTTTTTTTAATTACTGAAAGTTCTAAGATAATTTTTGTTTACTTATTGAGTATAAATGTTTATTTTTTATACATATAGATTAAAAAATGTAATCACTGTATTAAAATTCTACAGTGACATAACTTAAATTCTATATTTTTAAATATTTAAGGATTTTAATACTTACATAATACATTTTAATTATGAAGCTTTAGTTATTAAAGGGATACCACACCTGTATATTTTGTTAACTCATTGTTAATGTTTTTTATGTTATTTTAATTTTTAAATAGTTTATGAACTTTTTCAATTTTGTACTATGTAATTTGTGCAAATCTCACTTTTTCAATGTCCTAAGGATTGAATATTTCTAATTTTAGAAAATTTAGGTCCGGATTTTTAAAAATACAAAACACTCATTTATCCGGTAGTCTTGCTGTGAGTACCCCAAATGTAGATTAGGACTAATTAATCAAATTATCATTATAGCAGATATATTAATGATAATCATTTGTTATTTTAATATCTAAGCTTGGTCTATTACTGAAATCAGATTAGTTATGTATAACATTTGTTAGACTGAGAAACAGATGCTGGAGTGGAATGTTCTTAATTAATTAATTTCTATTGGTTGTGTACTTTATTTTTCTGTACTTATTAAGTATATTATTATTTTCAAAAATTTTCATATAAACTAATTTAATAAGTACTTAACAATTGAAAGGGAGGGTTAATTTCATCAAAAAGATCAATAAATTATTATATAACTCTAATTTTTAATATTTTGTTAAAAAGAATATCAGATTTTTCAAAATCTAAAAAATAAATATGTTATATTTGTGTTTATATAAAATAATGTTACCAGATAATTACGTTACTTGATTAAACTTTAAATTATGATTTTTTTCAAAATTTTAATTTGGTAACAAAAGTTAATTTTTAACATATCAGACTAAATATTTTTATATTTTATTTCCTAAATGTTTCATTGTTAAAATAAACAACATTTATACTCTAATATAAACATATTTAAAATTATTTCCCTTTTCAATCTTATTTAAACTTTTCATGTTCGTTAGAAAAATATTTTTCTTTTATTACAAGTTCATACTATATTATATTATAAAAATGTTTTAATAGTTATTTTTTAACAAAATAATTAAAATATTCTATGTTATAAATGATTACAATAAATTTAATTTATAACAATTAATTTGATTTCTAATCAACAATTCTAGTCCTTAAAATTTATATTGCTGTACATTATTTTTAATTAATATTATTCCTACCAAATTTCCATGAATTGTATAAAATAAATAAATAAAATATATTGTAATTAAAAAAAATTTCTAAGATACTTAAATATAAAATAAGAAAACTATAATCTAAAAATTAAAAAATAAATGTAATGAAACGGAGTGAATATATTATATTATAAAGTTATAAAAAGTTTGGAATTAAATTTCAAAATTAAATTATGAAATTGCAGAAGTTATTATTTTATTAATATTTCTTAAATCAACATTATTATTTTTATTAATAAAATGAACATTGCAATTTCAATATTGGATATTTATTAAATAATTTACTTCCCTGGTTTAATTGAATTTCCAATTTTATCTATAAACCTCATTTTTATAGTAATTATTATATTTGTTAAATTAGTACATTATTACTATTATTTTTATTATTATAAAAAGGGATTACACATGGTTGTATTCTCATTTTAAATAAAAAAAAAACCAACATAGTACAGTTAATATATAAATTAAAAATGTATAACCTAAGGGCAAAAATATATTATTATTATATGTACCTGCATTAAAAACAATTGAACTTTTGTGTTTTTAATGGTCATTAATTTTATAAATGACATTTAAATAAAATTGCAGTATTTGAAAATAAAGCGTTCAAAAAAGCTCATTCCTTTGATTATCTTAAATTTTCTGCTGTGTTAGCTTATCATGGATATAGTTCTTTTTTCATGTGAAGGAACATAATGAAATTATATTCATATTAATTTAGAGACACTTAAACAATTTTTTTCATTTATTTGATTGTTTATTTATTCTTAAATATAACTTATTTTTAAGAGTTAAGAAAACAAAAACTTTTATTATAAAAACTTAATATTTTCTAGCTATCTAATTGATTCGCTATTGGTGGTTATTATACAGCATTGATAATTAATATTCTATGTTTATTTGCAACCTTAAGTATGGGTAGTTCGCATTATTATATTTTTCTTCAACTAAAGTTATTTATGTATAAAAAAAAATATCAAGTCAGTTGCTGTGGCCTTTTCAGTGTGACATTATTAAAGGCCGGAAAAATGATCAATTACATTTTGTAATGTTTTATTTCCATTGTGGAATTTTTATAAAGCCAATGTCAAAAATAGTTATAATTATGATAGTAAATTTTTCAAATTCAAATTATGTAATATCATTTTTACCTATATTTATTATTTTTCCTATACATTAATGAACTTATTGTTAATTAATTATTCATATAAATTGTAATGATTTTTGGATTCATCAAAATATTAGCATTCTTCAATAAAATAAAATTGATTCAATACCTTCTGTCCATATAATCAAAATTATACAATAACTGATTAATTTTAAAACATAAAAACACTTAACTACTGAATATACATAATTAATTTTTTTAGATATTTTATATCAAATCTGATAAAAAAATGCTCAACAATTTAAAAATAGAATATAATTTTACTCTGATTGTATGTGATATTTTATTTATGTATAATTAGTTTATACTTATATCATTGATTATAGAATAATCAATTGTTATATTTAATGTACTAATATTATGCTAATATTAAATTATTTTATAAAATGTTATATATATATATATATGAAATAATTATCTTTTAAGAACAAAATGAAACTGTATATGATTGATAATTACATTTTTGTATATAAATAATGTAATTATGTCCATTTTACAAAAGAATTTATGAATCAATGTTTAAAAATTATAATTGATTAACATCAAATATTTTCTAATTATACATATTTTAAAATTATTAATTTTTTTTGTTTGTATTTGATTTGTCGTCTTAAGCTATTTTGGGAAAATAATTTTATCAGTATTTATTATTTATTAGTCAATGGACATGATCATTTTTATTAATGTTAAAATCATATTTAATATTATTAATGAATAATGACATATTGACTAATATAATGATCTATTGTAATTATTTAATATATGTATATGTTTTTCTTATTTGATGCCTTTAAAATTATATTTATTTGGGTTATATGAATTATGTATTGGTTGGTATTTTCGATTTTAAGATATGGATTATTTTTTATAAGCTTCATTTTATTAATTTAAAGCCCTTATATTATATTTGCAATTATAATTATAAATAATAATTAAAAGGGCTTCTAAATTTAAATTATATATTTGTTTATTTTTATTTTATTTTTTTGTTATTTATTATTATTTTATGTTTGTTCACTCCGTTGCTTAATTGTTATATTGATACAAAATTTGTAACATAGATATTTAAGTAATCAGAACAATGTTGATTTTTAACCGAAATTTGAATTTTTATATGTTGTCACAGATGTAGGTATTGAAAACAGTTTTTTTCAACTATACACCAGCAACGATATTTTATTTTTATGGACACAAAATAAAACCATATTCAACTTGGATGGCAGTCAACTTGTGACAACTTTAAATGTTCCGCTGTTGCTCATATATGTTTTGTTATTATTTTTATGTATACAATTTCTTTACATATGTTATGTGTTTGTTATTTTATTTCATAATTACATATGTAATTATGATAAATGAGTTTACCAAATGTATTCTGTTTAACTGGAAAATAACTATAAAAGAATGGTTTGATATGATTATTTTAATTATACATACATTTAAACACATAAAAATACTTATTTATATAATAGGTTCCTACTATTTTATTTACCAAACAACCACTTCAATTTTTTTTTTTTTTATTGTATCTATTTTGGTTGTCCAAAACTTTGAAAATAAATAAACTGTTTGTTGCATATCTAATAAAATATAACTTATAAATTATTACTTTTTTTTTTTTAATCATTATTGAATAATAAACCTTTGTATATATTATATTAACTGTACAATGTAAACACCTAATTTGTAACCCATAAAAAAAATAGTTTTTATTATTTAAAGTATAGTATGTAATCAATTTTTATAAATGTCTGTGATTATTTTTCATTTAATTGTAAGGTAAAATATATACAAACAAATTAAAAAGTTAATTATAGCCTTATTGATATTGTAATTATTTATTTTTTATAACCTTAGTTTCTTAAATTTTCATCTTTTTTGTTCTTGAATTATTATTTTTAAATTTTTAGAAATAAATAATAAATACATTAATATTATAAATTATAAACTGATATACACTGTATTTATCTTTCGTGAGAAATATGATAGTACTCATTCTTGTGTTTAATTATTTAATGATTTAAGGTCTATTTACACACATCCATTCCGAGTCCGATCCATCAGGGTACCCGAGTGCTCAGAAATATGAAATTATCGTAATCATATGTGTATATTCACATATGTCTGATCCGAGCTTTCCGGGCTTTATTCAATCAAAAAAATATTGTTTGTGACTGATTTCGGACACGGAATAGTGCTGGATCGGACATGTATGAACAGGCGTCCAATTTTATTTTGACGTATTTTATATCATATTATATATATTATACACTATTTACTATTTTTATCTTTTAATTTTTGACATAAACCTATCATATACCATGTTCATCATCAGTTTATTATTTTTTATCATCAGTTTGTAATACGCAATTGACAAACACATAATTTTTATTCTTTTATATTATATTATTTTTATTCCAATTATTTCTAAGTAGAATATGGAGTGAGTATTGAGTCATTCGGAAATATTCATAAAACTTGCTCATCGTCCATAAGTTCATTATATAAATTTTAAAATTCCACTTCCAGTGCTCTTTTTTTTCCATAAATCATGTATCCATAAAGACCGTTTTTTTTTTCTTTTTTCAAGTTGTCGTTTTCATCAAGAATCTGGGCTATCACAATTAATTCATCTTCGTTAAATTCACTCATGATATTTAACTATATATAAACTTGAAATTTTTTAAATTTGAAACAACCCGTCCGTTTCCTAATCAATTGTACGTATTAAATGCTAAATAAAATAATCGTATGTTACTTCCCCCCCCTCCAAAAAAAAAAAAATAAACCTCATCCATATACATTCACACATATACACACAAATCTCGAGAGTTAAAGTCCAAATATCTGTCATATCATAGACAAATATTTTCTTTTTACTTTACACTTTTTCAGTAAAACAACTTAAATAATAAAATATTTTCTTTTAATTATTATTAAATCAGTAATTTTATAGTTCGTTGGCATCGGGACTTGACGCTCGTTCCACGAAAACTTTTATCTGTTATTTCTTATACCGGGTTCACACTATTGCAATTTCTTGTATGCTTTTTCCCGCATGCTTATTTTTACTCGTGCAAGAACTTAATTGAACAAATTTGAACGCTGATAATACGCATGCAGTCCAACATGTTGGACAGAAATTGTATGCCAGTTTATTCTCGAACACGAATAGTTAGTTAACTGCATGATCAATGTGATTGTGTTTTATGAACTTTTAACATTTTTTTAATAACAATAATAATAATATTAATACAATTATTAATATAAATTATTTTATTATATTTTATAAGCTTCTTGCTTCTTTTTTAAGATTTTTTTATGAAGCATATCGCAAACAATAATTACACCTTTTTTTGTTGGGTCCATTTAATATTCTTGTTAAAAATTTAAAAAAAACAGCATTTCTACTTGCAATCAGATCACTTTTGGAACTAAACAATATTTAATAGCAAGACTAAAAATGTATAAGCATATATGTGAACATGCACTTGCGTATAACTATGCGTATTCTTGCATGATATATATTGCAAGCAAGTCTACAATGCAAAATATTGCAATAGTGTGAATCCGGCCTAACTTTGGTTTCACATTTGGTACTTATCTATATTTCATTTACAGAATGTCCCAAAACTATTTAACAAAGGCAATACAAATTGTCTCAACTGATCACATTACGTATTTCCTATAGTAAGTATAATCCTGTATTCATGAATAAAGGGTATATGATGTGGTACTTAACTATTTAATATATATATGTTTACTGGACTATTCCTATAATAAAATACGCTATGAATATAATGTATTTTACAATTATAATTGATTTATTTATTATATAATTAACTCTTAATATTAAACATTGAACCATAAATTGAGAACTTTAAAACATTTTTCTATTTTTTCTACTTTATTATTAAATCATATAAGTGCAAAGATTGATTCATCCGTTGAAAATCGCTAATCTAATTTTTAAAATATTTTTAAAAAAATAAAGTTCTATTAATTCTTGATTTAGAATATTTCTTGATTTTAGAATTATGATTCATATTTATATATTGATGCATAAGAATATAAGAAATATAAGAATATGCTTATTTGGCATTCGTGTAGCAGGTTATCTACTGGGCGTTGGGTGATCTGCGAATTCAGTACGAGTGATCTATGTTTTAATCAGGAACATATTTAGAAATTTGAGACACCAAGGGGCAACAATAAAAAACGCTTAATTATACCAAATATAAATTTCTGCTGATTGAAAAAGATCTTATTGAAGAATAATTCGTTGCTGGTATACACAAAAACTTTCTAAGTGCAACGTCAATGTAAGGTTAGATTGTTTGTAAATCTTTGGATCCAGGGATTATTCTAAGGATTTTTATCAATTACGCATTTTGTTTAAATAAGCCTATTAAAATAAAACTATGATCTCAAAATATACTGTCAAATTATAGTTAAAAATGATAAAATGCGTAGCTTCTATATGAAGTAATTTAAAATGTAATGTATTTAAAAGATAGAAAACAATTTACATTCGTGTTAAAAGTATTTTTTTTTAATATTTTTTAATAAATTTACTTTGTTATTAAAAAATAAAATTTACTTTTTACTTTGTTTATAAATCATAATGAAATGTATAAAATAACACTAAACAACATTGAATTACGAATCAATTACGCAAAAATTTATTATCAAGTGCGCATCTACCTTTTCCAAATACGTAAAATAAGCCCAACTGCGCTTTAGAATAAGCCCTGGTTGGATTTATTGACAGTACTCGACCGTTACCGAGTATGTGTGTGTGTTATGCACCGTGATTGGCGATATATATTTTTTTTGAGAAACACTTTTTATTTAGTAAAGAAGTTTCGTTTCAAAAATATTAGATCATTAAATATTGAAAATATAAAAAATTAGCCACCCAGGGCAATCGGATCCTGTAGCTCCCCCCCTAAATACGGCCCTGGTTCTAATAGTATAAAAACACGTTTCAAATTGTTTGTTAGGTTAAACCTATCCAGCAACATTACTAATGACTCGTAGCTATGTTATAAATGTCATTAATCGTTATCGCAATACTGTCCATTACGGTCTACGATAAAGTGCTATAATAATAGGTAATAATAATGGGCGGGACCATTTTCCTCCAAAAAAGAAATACCGTTTTTGGAAGAAAAAATAAAAATAATTCTTGACCATTTTCCTCCAAAAAATAAAATAATAAAATTGTCGATTGGTATCGTCAACATTTGAACAGTCAGCAGAAATTTGTTCTAATTTCTTAGGTATTACTTTTTTTGGTCGTGAGAATAAATCATCAATTGCTTTACGCTTACATGCATTATTTACTATTTGTCGATGTATTTTTTTTTTTTTTTTTGGTGGTGCAAATGATTATGTAAATTTTTGTATTATTTATCAACTACTATTTCTTCAGTTTTATTTATGTATATAACTGCTTGACAAGTACTAAAATAACATCACTAACGTGATAATCCAAATTCTAATTTTAACTTATACACTATAAAATATTTGTAACTATTACGAATTATCGAAGGTTTTCCTCGAGAACTTTCAATAAACATCGCTTTTTCAGACATGTTAAAAATTAAAATTTGATAGATTCACAAAAACTATAAAACACACTATAGATACTATTCGACGTACAGTAAGGTACTAAAAATATAGTCTTATTATTATTATCACAATTATGAGGAAAACGTGGTATAAATTATTTCCCTTTAACTTATAGTCGCTGGGTAATATACAAATTTAAAAATAAAATTTTCAAGTGTCAATAATAACGATAATCTTTAATCTAAAATATGATACAATATATTATATTATAATTATTTTTGTTGTGTGGCCCAACCCCCGATGGCGCAAAACTTTCATTTTGTTAGAAGCGCCATTATTGAGGCCCGGCCCTGCTCTAGCTTATAAAAAGTTAGACCTCTACCTTTAAAAAAGGTTTATCCAATATTTTTAGTATATTATTCATATAAAGCAAACCTATCACTTCTTTTTGTATATATTATTTATCCAAATAGCCATTACTTCTATTTCAATATATTTGAATTATTTAATATTTTTAAATAATTAATAAATAATAAAACTACAGTTTAAATAATCATATTATAGTTACATCGAAATAAATCTTCTAAGTGAAGAGTTATCTCGTACAATCATTATAAACTTTTTAAAAATATTATATGTATCAAATTGAACAACAGTCGACTTAAATGTGGAGAAAGACATATCTTCTCAATTCCAAACGTAGCTGTAAAAATTAAAACGTGGGTTTGGGTTAAATGTCTAGTGTTAAAGGTATCTATTATCAACATTATGATATTGGTACCACTGGTCTTAAGATGATATAAAAATCAGAGAAACGTTGTTGATGCGTTGGTCACTATGTTCATTTATCCACAAAATTTCTAACCTCAATCGCGTCATAGTTAACAAACCTCTCTTTCGCGTTCAGGATTTTTTCTCCAGTTAGTTGTTTAGGTATAACGATTCGTTTTGTTCATTAAATTAAAATTTTTCATTAGGTTTCTATTAAATACACCAACACTTAAAAAATGACTGCTGAGAAAAAAGTTAAAGTTAAGAAACCCAAGGTAATATGTAATTTGTTATAACTGTATTTTTCTGAACTCTGAATTAAATCGACTGTACACACGTGTATTAAATAAGTATTGAAACGATTGATATTCGCAACTCACTTTAAATATACTTCAGGCATTTTTTTTTCTAAATTAATATTTGGATTTTTATAGGTAAAGAAAACACCAGTCCAATGTGTACAAGTGTTTGGCCGTAAGGTATGTATTGTTTTGTATTTATGTAATATATTGAAGTTAAAACGTTTTTAGTAGATTTTAGATTAATAAGTATATGATTTTTAGTTACCAATTACTAATTAATATTAGTTGTTTCTTATTAGGAGGTAAATATGCAGATTATTTTCAATTCTGGTTTAGGTGATAAGGGGTTCAAAATGTTAATATTTTCCTTATTAATTAGGCGCTTGATCAATTAATTAATGATTGCAATATTATATTCATATTCATATGAAATTTATATCATAATAAAGATTCAATTTACAAATCGCGTCTTAAATTATTAATTTATACAAATTTAAGTGCATATTTTTTATACATTTTGAAAAATGTTTCATTTTATTTTTTTGTTCAATAATATCTTTAGTCACTTGCAGTATGGGATTACAAACTTATTATTCATTATATTTAATTATTACTTATTAACTTATTATGTTGATGTTTTGCCATGTCTTGAATTTGTATAATTGTATTGTATTCTTCAAATCAAAAATCAAATCAATCAAACTTAATTTTGTATTAAAATTATTAAAATGTTTAAACTTTATGTATTAATTGAAAAGATTCAAATAACTTAAATTTTTTAAATTAAAGAATAAAAAGTTTTATCTTTAAATTATTGTTTTTGTTCTAGAAAACAGCTACAGCCGTAGCTTATTGCAAAAGTGGTAGTGGCAACATTAGAGTTAATGGACGTCCATTAGACATGGTTGAACCCAGAGTTCTGCAATACAAATTGCAAGAACCTATTTTATTGTTGGGAAAAGTGAGTTTTCTTAAATGCTTATGTTTTTTTTTTTTTTTTTTTTAGTTGTAATAATTTAAATCATATTTTTATTCTTATTTTCTTTGAATAATTCAATGATTGTTATATACATTAACTCTTTATTACATTTATTTTATGTTGTATGATTAATTATTTTGATTAATTTAGGATCGTTTCAATGAAGTTGATATGAGAGTTCGTGTTAATGGTGGTGGACATGTCGCTCAAATTTACGCTATCAGACAAGCAATTTCTAAAGCTTTAGTTTCTTACTATCAAAAATGTAATTGACTATATATATACACATCATGTAATATTATTAAATATATTTTTATAATTTATTTTAGTTGTTGATGAAGCCAGCAAGAAGGAAATCAAAGATATTTTAATCCAATATGATAGAACTCTATTGGTTGCCGATCCAAGACGTTGTGAACCAAAGAAGTTCGGAGGTCCAGGAGCTCGTGCCAGATACCAAAAGTCTTACCGTTAACATTTTTTTTTTTTTTATATATATTCATATATTGACTTTGAAAATATATGTAAATTAAAAAAAATAAATATTTTTATTTCTCCTGTTAGCAATAAACTATCATTAATTTTGAAACAAAACAAATGCTTAGAGAATAAAATACAACTATAATTTCAGTGTAAAAATATGCTTTATGGAAGACTATTCAATGAATATTTATAATTTAGAGACCAATTTGGTTTTATTGTAGAGAAAAAAATTCAAGATTTAAAGTTTTTAGTTTTTTTTACTAACATAATGGATTCAATATCTCTTATATGTTAGTATTTGTAAAATGTAAGATTTTTATTAAAAATTAATGAGATAAGTTATACAAAAATAAACCATAAAAAACCTTTAGGTCAAATTAAATGGATGGGTAAATTAAATTGTTTTAGTCAATTTTTAAATTTGAAACTGACGTGCTATTTCACTTAAAGACCAAAGTTAAGGGATCATATAAGTTTGTTTATATTTTTGAAGAGATTGATATATGTTCTAATTTAATAAAAAAAAAAATAAAAAAAATGTAGGACTATAGAGTTAAGTAATTAAATATTATGAATAAAAATATATAATATCTTTAAAATAATGAAATCTGAAATATTAAGTTATTACTTGGGTAAGTGTTTCAAATTGCTACAACAGTTATAGAATAGGTAACTGAAAATGTATATATTTAATTCAGAATTTATGTCGATCTTCATATGAAAACGAGCCATAATTTTCACAAATATGTTTTGTTGGTTATGATGAAAAAGAAACAGAACTTCGGTTATTATAGTATTTAGTTGTCTCAAACCAGTTAAATCCTGAATGTATTTCTATATGGGTGATTGCAAACTCTAGCTAAAATATCTGTAAAGATAAAAAGATAATAAAAGATTTAGTGTAAACTCCGCCAGTTTTTTTTTTCTTACTTGTAATGGGCATGTGTAAACTTAAGTTTAATTTTTTTTACCTGCTCAGTGCTCATATTGCCATGTGCCTTCTTACATTAAATATGTTGACATCTATTGCGATGATGTATGTCGAAATTGATAAACTATTGTCATGGATCGAATATATATCCACATCGATTCATTTATTTATAATTTTATATTCATATTTGAAATTAGTATTTCCAATGATGATATCGGCAGTAGGTAAGGTATACGTAAAGTACACTTTGACGAACATTCGTTGTCTGCGTGTTTCAGTGTATATTTTGTATTGAACGAAATATGTCGCAACAAAGTAATAATATAAAATTAATTACTGGTCAACAAGGCAATTTATTGGTTTTATTTGACAACTACAAATATAACCAAAATATAAAATATGCGTCTGGTGAAATAAAATGGAGGTATGATATTATCAGTGGCGTACTTTCAATTTTTTCTGAGGGTGTCCACAGTTTATACATAAATAATAATTTAATAATTAATATAAACTATATATTATATTGCAATAGTTACGTTCTTATGCAGTTTATGGTGGAAGTTGAACTACATATATAATGTAATAATCGTAGTCTTATGTAATCAGTGGCGTAGTAACGGGAGGGGACAAACCCCCCAAAATATTTAATATTTAGGAAAATTTTATAAGTATAAATAAACTAATTATTTCTGAAACATTACAGGATCTAATCCTCATTTAATTTTAATATGTATGTTTGTAGGTAATATTGTATAATTCAATTTTATTTTAATTTATAATCCAATTTCTGTTGTGGAACGGGAGTAGTGACGGGTGGAAGAGATTGAGGACACCCCCCTCCACCCAAAAATATTCAGTGTTATTATATTTTATTAATTCGGATTTTTCAGCTCTAGAGACCTTTTTATTTATGCTAATTAATTTTTTTCTTACGTATAAAACCCCCCCTCCGAAATTTTTTTTTATTACACCACTGTATGTAATATATATATATATATATATACCTATATATTGTATTTAACACTATATACTATAAAGTATTGTTATAAAATAATTTCCAGTCGTCTCGATTTTTTGGCCAACTCCTCTATCCCTTCATCAATAGCAATTTCAACTTCCCTGTGAATGTTTAACATAGCCAATTTTGCAAATATGTAAGAATTTTAGTTTATTTTTTGGAGAGGTTCTGGGGGGGGGGGTCCAGTACCCCTGGACCATTCCCATATATACACCACTGGATATTATATAATATTATAATAATAATATTCACTTATTATTACTTATTACGTATTACTTTTAATAATATGTCATATTAATTTTATACTACTATTCGATTTTCTTCACTGCCGGAGTTAACATGTATATAATTTTACTTGTTTTATATTTCTGGCGGAGTTTACAGTAAAAAAAGGTACTTGTGGCGGAGTTTACATACGCCCATTCCATATAATTAACGATCGTATAACAACAATTAAATTCTGAGATTATATTTTATAAATATTCGTCACTTGACAATTTGAGATAAGACAATAGTACGTGTATTATAGATTGAAAACTAGGAATTCCAAACACGGATATTGAACGCACATTTGATAAACACAACTACAGAAAAGGGTCAAAAAATGTTGGCCCCCTTATAAAAATATGTCTGGTTACGTGCCTGCATGAAGTACAGGACCGACTTGCTTTTATGATAGGTGTCATCCATTTTATCAATTTGCCTGTCAAACTCTGGGGTTGTTGGAAGCTGATGCTCATTGGGACCGAACTCTTGAAGAAGCCACTATTTCTGATTCCCCACAAAAAATTCGTCAACTATTTGCTGTTTTGTCAATTAACTGACCCGTTAAAACTTTGGGAAAAGGATAAGAATAGTATGTCAGAAGATTTCAAAAGAGAACTGGTAAAAAATTAACGAGAGATTGTTATTAAAACCATAATGAATATTGTTTACAACAAATGTTTAGTGCTACTAGAACAGGTCGTGTTTTCGATGGGTAACCTACTAATCACTTCACCAGTTTGGACTTCGTTTACTGTCTTATGATGCGAGTGAATTGTCAATCGTGACTACCAGTTTCAATTCAAACAGCTACAGTTTCCCGTAAAGGTATGTTTTGCCATGAAAATTAATAAAGCGTAAGGACAGTCTTTGAAAGTGGCAGGAGTGGATTTAAGGAATAACTGTTTCTCCCATGACCAATTATAAGTTGTCTATTCACGTGTAAACTCTCCTGATAGTATGGTAATACTGCTTCTCGAAGGAAGAATCAAAAAAATTGTATACAAGAAGGTATAATAAAAAAAGTAAAAACGACTGACTAAGCATAAAAAATATTTTAAAGCCAGTCCTGGATTGAAGTACCCTATATCAAAATTATTTACAAATGTAAAAAAAGGAAATAAACAGTAAAATCAACATTCTTCATTTCACTCAGAATCTAAAAAGGAACATGGTTCCTTCAATTAAACACACTACCACTTAATATTAATTTATTATCAGATATTTCTTTATTTCATGTTATAGTTTGTACTAAAGTGGGATATTGGATTAAAAATGAGTAAGGTCGAACCATAAAATATAAAATATTAATCAAATATGTTAACCAAAAATATTTTCACATATTTAATACTATTAAGTTAGGGATACTAGGATAAAACATAAAAAAAAATTAAGTCTGGTATATATACCATATGCTTAATTCACTAAAATTTTACTAAACAATTTAAATTGAAAATTTATAATTATTTTGATAACTCAGTATAGAAAGTGTATTTTGTAAAAATTTTTTTGGGATATTCTGGGCTACTTAAGTACTTGTTGATATAAGTTTTAACACTAAAACTATTACATAAATTTATTTACATTATAACAAAAATGTAAAGAAAATAATTAAAATTTGCTTAACACTAAGTCAATGACAAAATAAATTAATATTCTATATTAGAAAAAATCATATAGTTTCTGCATACATTTATAAATTAACACCACATTTAGAAGAAAAGAACATTTATTATAAACATAAAAACAGTTGTATAATAAGAAATATAACAATGTTTAAACAACATTTATTTCATAAAACTATACTAGTATATAGATAAATACAAATAATTAATTGTACATGAATATACACATACATTCCACATTTTTTAAAAATTTGTTGTCATTACACAAAAATAAAAATAATGATTACTTAGTTTGGTATACACACCATTAAAAATTTTAAAATTATTTATATCACAGATATTATCAGTCAATTTGCTATTCTAAAATATTCTAAAATAAATAATAAATATTTATTTTCAATTATGTTAACTTATAATTAAATAGAGTAAATTCGTAATATAGTATTATACACATCTTTTTTTAGTATGCAACTGTTTACCAAACACTTAATTATATCAGTATTGTCTATAATACACAATTTATCCCATAAATTGTGACCAATAATTGATTTAAACATATTCATTTTTTTGCAAAGAATTGTAGACAGCGGAAATTTTGGATTCCATTTCATCAAAGAAACACAACTGGTAACATAATCTACGGATCCTAGTACTATAATTATTGATACAAGAGACTCTTCAAATAACTGAGAACCTGAAAATAATTGTTCAACAAAATATTCAATATTGGATTAAGAAAATTATTAGTTATTATACTCACGAGGTCGAGTATCATTAAGATATTCAACAAATTTATATTGTATTGTCTTGTAACTGTTATAAGTGGTGTTGTAAATATGTTCTTTTTCGTCCTTCTTAGTACCATATGTTGTACCTTTACATTTTTTTAGGTATGTAGCTACAGTACTATTACAAGTTATCTTAAATGGTTGGATAGCTAAATCTAAAAATAATTTTCTATAGAAATGATCGAACAATATAACATAAATAAAATTAGATTTACTTACGTAATGTTTCCATTAATTTTATGGCATTAGTTTCGTTTTGTTGTGAATTAAGATAATCCTCAACTATGGGAAATAAACAATTTATCATAAACTCTACCGAGTCTTTGGGGTTGCAGCATTTTAAAAACATAACTATAGATATGAAAAAATCTATAAAACATAAATAATTGTTTAATTTTTACTTAAACTAAAATATTATAAATAGTACAAAATATAATCATACCAGGTTTATGTATATGTTGAACAAAATTATGTGGCATATCTATATTGAATGAGTAATTAAAATGAAATGATAGTAAGTTGATCAATTCTCTCTGAAAAATATCTCGACCAACAGTTTGTTCTGATAAAACCTTTTTTTTCGCTATTAAATAAGACATGACTGTAATAATAACTGGATCTAAACAATCAATTTATAACAATATTTTACTATAGTAAACTATGTCGAATCATTATTTTATTTAAATAAATATTTACCTATTTTGTTATTTACAGATCTTGGTAAGCAATTCTTCCATAACAATAAAGATGTAAATAAGATACAACAATATTTATTGGATAACAAAATCATTGAATCAAAAATAAATGTTTGAAGTGTTTTTAATAGTCCTAACCTAACGCAAATATCAACAAAATATACTGTTTGCGTTATTATTTGATGATCCTAAATGTACAACAAATTTAATTAAGAGAAAATGTTTTAATGAAATGTGAAACAATAAACCTATACAAATTATTTGTACAATAATATTTTGTTACTTACAATTGTAGTAATATGATTATAATTCATTTTCTTATTTAATAAATTTTTTCGAATAACATTTAAGATAAGATCAATTAGTTTATTGCTTCTTAACATTTTTACTAATGCTAGAGTAATTGTAGTTAATTTCATTATTTGTGGACAAATAATGCTTAAGTTCACAGATCCCAATTCTTTATTTTTCACTTCATCATTTAATTGATCATAATTTACTTTATAAGCTGATAATCCAGTTATAATAGGAGGACCAAATGTTTGTTCAAAAATAAATACCCCAATTGAACTAAAATTTACAAATAAAAACATTGATATAAGCCTTACAACCATTTTAATACACTCAATATATGTATGTATATGATGATTTACCTGGCAATTTCTTCTTCACTAAAAAATCTTAAATTTCTGAATTCTTTTGATTCAAACATTTCATTCAACATTTTATCTGAATTTATTAAATTTCTAAAGATAATTCTGATTTTCAAGTTACTTTTAACATCTAGAAAATAAAATAAAATACTAATTAATAATTATACATTTTATTAAAATATACTCAATAAGTTTGAAACAATAAAAATAATTTATTTTTCACCTCAACTTCATAAGAAATAATTGAATTTATAAATTTATTAAAATAATCCATCTTCTTATATTGCTTGTGTTGACGGTTATTTATAATTTGTATTCAAATATTATCTAATTTTAGGTTTCCCCTGTTTTTTTATTTTTAAATTAATAAAATAATAATAATAAAAAACCAATTCAATTTAATCTATCCTATACAAATAATAATTTAGATGATTTCTAAGAACTATATATTATACTAAGGGGAGAAAATTTTTTTTAAAAAAGTACTAATTAATTTATATATAGACAAAATTATTTTTAACGTTTATATTAATTATTTGTAATAAATGAAGATTATATTTTAGGATTATAGGTCATTAGATATTAAAATTTAGGGTCAAAATACCAATTAATTACACTTAAAACCATAAATTCTTTAAAAACTAGAATTAATCAGAATTATAATTTGTATTGCCTATTCGGTCATATTATTTTACTACCCAGCAATTAAGTATTGTATATACTTAACAATAATACTAATATTATTAAATAATATTAATAGCTGTAATCACTATATTGTATTTGTGTCAATTAAATCAATTTTAATCAGTGTTTAGGTGTTTTTCATATTTTATCTTACTCTTTGTTTTTTGTGGAGAGTTGGAATCTTTTGTCTTCTTGACAGAAATACTCGGTTCATTATTTTCTTGATAACTGTTATTCACATCTTTTTTAATTATTATTTCTGCAGTGGTTGAAAGATTTGATTTTTTCAATGCATGATATATTTTACTTTCATCTAAAATACAAATGTAAAATAAATAAAGAAAAAAATAAAATAATAATTACAATTTTATATTAATTAAATTTATTTATTCTTTTACAAATTATTATTTATAGGCTTATATATATAACATAGAATTATAGATATTTAGGGTATTTTTATTATTTAATTATGTGAATTAAATGACATTTTAAAAACTATTGATGCTGTAGATAAATATGATACATAATTATTAAGGTCTGTATTTAGTATAGGCATTTGTACATTTGAATAAAATTAGCAGTGTGATAATAATCTGTGAGAAATTGACAGGTAATAATTGTTTACCTGTGTCCTGCACAAATTTTAAAAGATAATTAAATTGCGAGCATGAAACAAACATTTTATAGGTGTAATACAAACATAATACAATTCTGTAAGATTGGTACTTAGTACTTTCTACAGAATGGCCATATTTCACTACTAAATACTTGACTTGTTCTGTATTAGAATTATACAGTGGTCAACTTGAGGAGGAATGCAGGGGGGATGGAGTGCCTCAACTTGAGAAATTTTAGCATCCCCCTACTATTAGTAAATTATAATTATAACGCTTAATAAGTTGATGCTCTTTTTTTTAAAGCAGAGTCCCCTTTCTTTAATTTTGCCAAGTCGAGCATTGAAATTATATAAAACCAAAAAATTGAAGTATAATATAGCAAATTAAACAATAAAAGAATATTATAGATGAAAAATAACCAAATTAAAATCAGAATGTGCAAAAATTTTTTTTCCAAAAAAAAGTGAGAAAAATAAGAATAAGCCACAAAATGAATACCATTAATAGTTTTAATATCATTGACTTCAATTGGCCTGTTTATATGTTTATTCATCTTTTGAAAAAAATGTTCATCCACTGAAAAAATATATTTAAAAATAAGTAAAATAATAAAAATAAAACTTAATAAAATATCTTACCACATTTTTCAACCATATGTTGACACAAAGATATAAACATTTCATCAACATACATTTCTTTCAATATATCTTTTATCTCCTTTGAAAAAAATGTATTTGTATTAGTGGTATTGTTATTTAATAATTTATTTTTATAAAAATCATCGCACATCTCAATAGTCATAAACATACAATTTCCTAAATAATTGTTTTCTTCTTTTAATGCATGCAAGTTCTCAGATTTATTATTAGATAAATCAGTTTCTTTGTTAAATAAAATAGGTTTCATAAATGTTTCTGAAAAAATATAAAGTTAATTTAATTATAACATTTTATTATTATTTTTAAAATTTTTTTTTCTTTTTTCTTTTTAGATGATAAGTTCTCAAAAATTTTATATGATCATATAAACCAATTAATCATAGTTATATTAATAAAAAGTCACTTATTATATAAAACAAGAAAACTCCATCTAAGGAATTTTATAATTGATATATAATATACTATAACACTATAACAATTAATACAAGTCAGTAATGAGTTGATACTATAATTGACTAAAATTCAATATATCAATATATTCAACAGATATAAGTAGTTTCTCAAATTTGACACAAACAAAAATAGTGGAGAAAGTATGATATATGAGAGAAATTGACTTAAATTTGTGAATTAATTTTTTTTCGAAAAATATTGAGTGGCACTTTTAATAATTAACAAATCCCGATAAACCTATGAAGTTAATAATGAAAAGTAATGATAAAAATTTTACTTTGATCATTATTTCCTATTTTTATTTTGGTTGACTGTTTTAACTCTTCTTTTTTTGAATCTACCAACTTAATTTCACAAGATTCAATATCTGTTACATTGTCTGAAAATTAAAATATTTACACATTAAAAGTTTTTATAAAAAATGAAGTATGAAATTAATATAAGCAATAATTACGTTCAATAGAAGGTAAATCATCTTTTACTATTGAACCTTTTAAGTTATCAATAGAGCAGACGAGTGTTGGATTTTTATGAACTTTGCATTCATTATTATCTTCATCATCTTCTAAAATGATAAACAGGATTTAAGTTCTTTAGTAAAGTAATTTAATTAAAATTACCAATTTAAACTTTTACATAACATTTTAATGTTCAAACATAAAGAATTTAAAATTAATATTAAACAACTTTCAAAGAGTTAGTTTTTGAAATTTATAGGTTAACAAAAACATGTTTAAACAGCTCTAAATAAAAATATATACTATTAGTAAGATTTAAAAGTGTTTTAAATTCAAACTTAATAATATTATGCAGAATTAATTACTTATACTGTGCTTTTTATTGTATTTTTTATTCTTCGAATTTTAATAAATATTATTGTTGTCCATCCGGCTTCTACTAGGATTGTTGTTTTAATTAAATGCCAAATTAATTATTTGAAAGTATACTAATTATGTAAGTTAGTCATTACTATTTTTATTGTTGATATAATATTTTATGTATAATATGAACTACTTTTAAATTACTTACCAATTCTTAATCTAGTATCGTCATCAGAACTACTGTTACTCATTGAATCTTCAATATCATTGTTAGTAATATTAAACAAACTGCTATTGGACTGCTCAAGTTTATGTTGCAATATAGGAACTAAAAAAATTTAATTTTTAGAATTTCATTATAATTTTAAATTAATAAAAACTTAATTATTATTATATCATTTGCTAAGTACAAATACATTTTTCCTCATATTAAAAAATAAAAAAATAAGTAGTATAATAGAAAATAAATGAATGCACATCTTGAACTCAACTCATAGAAAAATGGGATTTACACTAAATCATTTGTTTAGTTATTATATGATCATGTCTAAGTTAAAGATTTTTATATTCAAACAATAATTGAACCATTAAACGTAGATTTCAAATCAAATATAAATGGGTCATTTTATTAAATTAAATAAGCATAAACAGCATTTATTTTATTTTATAAATGATATATTTGTAGATGATTAAATAGAATCAGTAGTTAGATCCATAATTGAAACAAATTATTATAAAAATTATTATAAAATACATAATTTTTAATTAAAAAAATAATAAAAACTATAAATGACTTACAAGTATGTATGTTTTGGTCATTAATAGAACTTTGCTTAACATCACTTTTATCAAAAAAAGTTTTATAAACAGGTGGTTCAGGCAATTTAAATACATTTTCTTGAATATTGTTTTCATTTGATGAAGGAACTAAAAAAAAAAATAAAATAAAATTTAACATACTAAATTATTTTAATGGCCACTTAAATGGTTCACCTAAATTAAACAAACATATACAATCTACTGTACATTTAATTATTAAAATAATCTATACTATTTAAAATACATACTTGATTTTTTCTCCTTCTTTTACACCATAAGTTATTTCAGTTTGAATAGATATAATATTGCATTTTGTTGATCTATTTTGGAAAGGTTTTACATTTTCACATTCTGAAAAATATTTATAAAAATGAGATTGTGAAATATTGAATTTTAATTAATACATACCTTCATAATTTTCACTCATTAAAATAGGATCATTATTTGTCAAACAAAAATTGAATGGTTTGATATCAATATCTGAGTTATACTTTAAATCTTCAATTTTTATATCATATGTTTGATCTAAATTAAATTGATTTAAAAATAATAATAATAATAATAATAATAAAAACATTTGCTTATAAAACATACCAGTATTACTATGCATACAATTATATTCAATATTGTTCACATAATTCATACTTAAATTAGAATTTGTTTCACAGAAAATGTTATCTTTATTGAACTCTTTTTGTTCAGTAGTAGAAATTTGAAAATCATAATCTAGAAAAAAAATTAATTTATTTGATTCAATAATATATTAATTATGTAAATCAGTAAGATAAATTGTATAAACACAATTAATTGATATAAATATAATTATAAGGACATAAATTAATTAGTTTTTAATAAATAATTTAATAATTAAGAATTAGCTATTCCTATATAATTAAAAGTGGGCAATAAGTTAATTATAACCAACTACTTCAAAAAAGTATGCATACCTTTAAGTATGCTATTGAGTTGTTGAATAATTATTTGCAAAATACAAGATAAACACTAAGTACTAATAATAAACAGTAAACACTAAATAATTTATTGATGTACCAGAATTAAATGTTATAAAGTAATTTGCTTACAGAGCTAAAAATACAAAAATGAATGACAGTAAAATGCTTAGTCATAAAAATGTATCATTATAAATTATTTATTATAATTTATTTTAAGCATAATTAAATACTTTATCAATAAAAAATAAAGCATATATTAAATTATTATTGAAATCTATGATTGTAATAATATTTAATTTACCAATTTCCTTTTTACTGGGTAATTTAAACAAACTTGAAGATTTATTATCTGTGGTTGATTTTATATTATGACATAGTAAATCATTACCAGATCCTTGTATAAAATGAGTATTCAAATATGATGTAAAAAAAAAAAATTAAAATCTTAGAGATAATCCTTTTAAGTATTACATAATATAATCCTCTTTAATTGTATAGCTAATAACTTAATGTTTATCGGAATTCATTAAATATTTAACATAATTTCTTAGATTATTGATAGATATCATTTACTTAATCATTAAATAAACCACTGATTTCCAAACTGGGAGGTGTGCAATTTTTGAAAGTCTACAAAGGGGGTGTAGAACAGAAGAGATTGAGAACCACTGACATAAATAATGATGGAAATAAATTGATAATAATAATTCTCAAAGATTTTTGTAAAATTGCAATCAGTCTTGTAAAGTATTTGAGTAAATATATTTAAATACTTTTGTAGTATTTAGAATATTTTTAAAATATTTTTAGATTTGATTATTTGGGAAGTATTTTAAATACTGTCTTGGACGTATTTGTATTTGAAAATCAAATACTTTTATACAAATACTTTTGAAAATTCAGTCGTCAGTCATTACATTTTTTTTAATTTATTTTCATTTTTCAGTATAATATAATTAAGAAGGTGGTACAAAAACTTCTAATAATACTTAGTTGAATATAACATGATAATATTTTAAAATTAGTTATTACAAAATTAATTTGGCTTACTGACTAGTAGAAAAGAAAGATAAAAAAGTATTTGAAATACATTCTGAATGGATGTATTTGTATCTATATTTAAATAAAATTTTAAAAGTATTTTTTACAACACTGATTGCAATGCATAATCATACTTGGCTAATAATATATGTATTACCATAAAAGCCTTTTCGATAGATCATACTACTTAATGCTAGGATTTATTATTTCTTTCTGTAAAAGCTGATAAATACAACAAACATAACAAATACAAATTATTAATGTGCTACCATCATAACTCATATATAATTTTATTTGGATTGATTTGTGTAAGTGTGTAATGTGTTATGAGGATAGCGCATATTTTATAGAATTTTCATCAATTTATGTAACTTATTAATTTCTATATATTTTTATTTAAATATGATTTAAATGTGCCTTATATTGAAAGTTTTAAGAGATTATAATTTCAATAGTTCAAAATAAGGATTCTAGGGGACACGGAATAAGCCTCTACAAAGATTCCTTTCGCAGGTAACTACTTACAATACCAATGGAGAAATATATAAGATACTAAGCAATCGGGCGCCCCCTAAGCAACGTCAGTGGGATGCAGAGTGATAAACAACGTACCCCACTGATGGTCAATCTTTCTAAACCAGGTCGACAACCAAGACCCTTCACTGGGATGAAACAGCCCTTACCAGGGTCAACCTTGACGATTATGTCCTTTAATGCTGAGGGACTCACATCTGAGAAAGAGACAGTAATTTCACACATAGTCAGAACAAATAGTATAGACATACTGTGCTTACAAGAAATCCAACGTGACGAACACCACCATAAACTTACTATCAATGGACTTAGGCTGATAACAGAACACCATCACAACAAGTATGGAAGCACAGTTTTTGTGAAAAACAATATAGATGTTATATCGGCCCATAGTACATGTGTAAACAATATAGAAATTAATATGATTGACATCGGCAATATTACAATAACATCAATATACAAGCCACCTAATGTAGATCAGCGGTTCCCAATTAGCATGAAGCCACGGACCCCTAGCTATAACTTAAATTGGTCCACGGACCCCTTTTTTGTAAATACTTACTCTTCAATTTTATTTAATTATGAAAATGAGAAATAAATTGGTACGATTTATTTTCAATATGATTTAATTTTTAATTTTGTAAACATTTTCGTAATATAGTACAAACAAATTTTCTCAAAAAAAAAAAAAAAAAATAATTACAATAATATATTTATAAAAAAAATTATTTGATTAACCACCTTCAAACTTTATGAAACAAGTGAAATCTTTCTTTTTTGTTCATAATTTCGTCTAAGTCCGACTGCATGCTTGAAATTTTAACTATTAAATCAGCGTCAATATTAAGTCTATTACGAAATTTGTTTTTCATGTAACAGTAGGTAGAAAAAGCTTGTTCACATCTATATGTTGTGCAAAAGGGGATCAAATGTCTTAAAGCTTTCTCAGCCAGTTGCTTTTGATCATTTTGAATAATTAACCAAAAATCAATTAGTTTTTTTATCGTTGAAAATATTTTTCATCGTTCCATTTGTTACCAAATCAATTAATTCATCTTGTTCCTGTTCAGAGAGATTTTCTATTTTTTCAATATCACAGGAAAATGGATTTCTTATCCATGTATTATTTGGGTCAGGTTGATGAAAATATTTTCTTAATATTTTGGCCATGCTCAACAAGTGTTCAGATTTTTCACTCTTTACCTCCTGTGATAGACATTCACACGAAGATTCCAAAAATGTTTGTAATGTCGGAAAGTTACTGAAAGAGTTATTTTCAACACGTATTGCCCAAATTTCAAACTTTTTAATAGTTGCTTCGATTTTATCCTCAACGTGAAAAACATCAACATAAATTCCTTGTAAACTCAAATTTAGTGTATTCAAGTATTTGAACACATCAGCCAAGTAAGCTATGTATAAAAAAGGACACACGGCACTAATTGCTGACCAGTAATGACTGAGACTACTAATTAATACTAATGTTAATCATTTACTTTAAATTATATATCCGAAATATATTTTATTGGTTAATGGAAAGAAAATAATCAGTATGGTTTCACGTTTTAAATTATAGTAATAATAGTGTAATATTGAAGATAATAATGATATTTATTTCTATGAAATTGATTATCTATTTCTTTTTCGCAATAATCGTGTTTCATTAGTCCAAAAATACTTGGAATATCATATTACTACAAAGATAATAATTTCACTAAAATAAAATAAAAATAGCACTACAGAACAACACAACCGTGGACCCCCTAAAATCAACACGCGGACCCCTGGGGGTCCACGGACCACCAATTGGGAACCGCTGGTGTAGATTTTGAGTTCAACGAGCCAGTTGATTTTCAAAAACATAAAGCAAAAATAGTTATCGGAGATTTCAACAGTCAAAGTGCCCAGTGGGGATACCAAGAAATGAATGATAATGGTGAAAGAGTCAAAGACTGGGCAGCAACTAATGCTCATTCATGGTCTGAAACTACCAAAGTCCTTTAACAGACAATGGAAAAACGGCTATAACCTGGACAACATATTTGTAGGGGAAAATATTGAACAACTAAGCGTAAAATGTGTAATAGATCCTATTCCTCGAACACAACATCGACCCATCATATGTGAAATTTTAGCAACAATAAGTCCAACTATGGTACCGTTTAAAAGACGGTATAATTTCAAGAAAGCAAAATGGAGTGAATACGCAGTGGCACTAGACAGGGTAATTAAAACATTCCAACCAACACTGGAACATTACGATGATTTTGTGAAAATAATAAAGAAAATCTCGAAGCAGTACATATCCAGAGGTTGCCGCCAAAATTACATACCCGGGATGAAGAAACAGCTACAGAAGACCCTCGATGAATTTACAGTAAGATATGAAAACAATCCATTTGACGATGAAACTATTCAAATAAGAGACCCTTTTGACAAATATTTCGAAGGAAAGAAGGAAAGAATGGCAGAAAACAGTAGAAGAAATAAATATGGCACAAAATAGTAATAAGGCCTGGCACCTCCTTAAGAAACTAAACAGCGAAAAGAACAACGGATTTGTATATACGAATGTTACGGCAAACGAAGTGGCTCATCAACTTTTACTAAATGGAAAGACAAAACGAACTGTTAAAGAATCCAAAAAGATCAAGAGGAACCCGTGTGATGAAATCAATACATTTACGTCCGAACTAGATATTAAGGAAGTGGAAATTACAATTAAGAGTCTGAAAAACAAGAAGACAGCTGGTGTTGATGATATACTTAATGAATAAATCAAACATTTTGGCCCTATAACGGTGAGATGGATCACAACACTATTCGGAAACTGCATCAAAATGAGTAGAATATCGAAAAAAATGGAGAGAATCGCATGCTATAGCATAGCTTAAACCTGGTAAAAAGATCCGACAGAAGCAAAAAAAAGTTACAGACCAATTTCACTTCTGTGCCACCTATATAAACTGTTTGAAAGACTTGTTATAAACAAAATAACAAATCTCGTTGAGAGCAGGTTTAACCACGAATAAGCTGGTTTCAGAGCGGGAAAATCATGCACAATTCAAGTACTAAATATCACGCAACATATCGAGGACGGTTTTGAAAAAGGGGAAATAACTGGGGCAGTCTTTGTAGATCTCACGGCTGCCTATGATACGGTGAACCATATAATGCTTAGAAAGAAAATTTACGAGATGACGAAAGATTATTGTCTAACAGAAATTATAGGAATGTTGCTGAAGGATAGACGGTTTTATATAACACTAAACGGCAAGAAAAGCGAATGGTGAAAACAAAAAAACGGCCTTCCTCAAGGGAGCGTATTAGCACCAATGTTGTTCAACATCTACACGAACGACCAATCGATAGGAACAGTAACACGACATTTTATATACGCAGACGATCTGGCATTAATGACATAAGAAAAGAATTTTGAAGAAATCGAAGAAAGACTGGAAGATACCCTAAAAGATACCCTAACTATATACTACCAAAAGAACCGAGAAGCAAAAAGAAACCTGCATATCAACTGGAATAATGAAATACTACAACGCAGTGACAACCATAAATATCTGGGAGTTTATTTGAATCGAAATCTTATATACAAAATGCACTGTATAAAACCCGAGCAAAGGTAGAAGCCAGGAATAACATTATACAGAAGCTCATTGGTAGTAAATGGAGAGCTGACGCGAAGGTACTCCATACGTCTGCGCTAGCTCTATGTTTCTCGGCGGGGGAGTATGCGAGTCCGATCTGAGAAGAATCAACACACTCAAAGAGAGTAGATATGGCCCTCAATGAAACTGTCCGTATGATCACTGGGTGTCTTCGACCAACGAACATTGATAAATTATACAGTCTGAGCAGAATTGCCCCACCACATATTCGACGGAAAGTAAGCGCAATGGTTGAAAAGACGAGGAAAGAAACGGATGGGCGCCATTCCGTGTACGGACAGATCCACCACCAAAACGCTTGCGTTCAAGAAAAAGTTTTTTAAACAATTGCGGACCACTGAGCGTTCCACCTCAGAAATAGCGGACTAGATTATGGTAAAGAGAATTTCCTTTTACGGTGTTTCCCAAAAAAGAAAGTCTTCCTACTGGAAATGACCTCTCATATGCACTATGGAGAACGTTAAACCGATTAAGGGTAAGCGATGCTAGGACTAGCAGTACTTTGGTGAGATGGGGTATTCAGGAAGACCAACTATGTAGGTGCGGACAGGTCAGGACAGACGACCATATATTGCAGTTTCATAGAGCCCCATATAGAATTGTGGATCGTAGATTTAATGGGTTGTATAACAAAACGAAGAAGGGAAACTGTCGGATACTGGAATGGTGAAGGAATCCGATAAGTTGTCGACTACATGATAAAAGAAGAATAAGGATTCTAGTAATATTCTTATAAAACACCTGATATTAATATTATATAAATATTTAAAAGGTGTAAAGCAAAAATAAGTTACATAAAAAAATAACTTAAGTTCTTATTTTTGAATATTGAATTTAAAATCTAATAAAAGCTTTCAATATAATGATTTTCAGTCTTCATCAAGTACTTATAGTAAATCCTAACATTAACTAATAAGACAAAGCTTTACCTAGCGTTGTACTTTTTTGGTACCATATTATACACGCAATTATTAATCAGAGTACAAATAAACACAATTTTTTTAATGTATGACTAATTTAATTTTTAACAAATTTAACATTATTTTCATGACAATGTTTATGAAATTATCAGATTTATTTGTTTTTTTTAATGTTAAATTTCTTAAACTAAATAATTATTAAATTCATAGCTATAAATGTTATACTTACTATTTTTTTGTTTACCAAAATCTAAATTAATTTCTTCATAAGGAACTATATGAACAGGAGGTATATTCAATGTTGTAATATTTGATGAATTATCGTGATTATCTAGAAAATGGATTCATGTAACTATAATAATTTATAAAGCACAAAAATATATAACTTACTAGTTTGGTTTTTAGAACATTTTTCATTACTCTCAAGACAAGATTTGAAATTATCAGATTTAATTGGTTTTGTATTATTTAATGTTTCACCTAAATAAATAATTTAAATTTAAACACACCAAATATTTCATAGCTATAAATATTATACATACTATTTTTTTGTTCACCAGAATCTACATTAATTTCTTCATAAGGAGTTAAAAGAACAGGAGGCATATTCACTGTTGTAATATTTGATGTATCATCATTATAACCTAGAAAATGTATTTTTACTGTTACAGAAATATATTAAAAAACAAAAAAGAATTTGCTGAAATCTAAAAACCTATACTATATGTACAACATACTATTTTTGTTTTTACTAAAATCAACTATTTTTTTATTATGAGATTTAAAATTAGCATGTTCAATTTTTTTTTTTATGAAATAATACTCAAAAAAATTAAAAAAATCAAAAACGATTTTACTAATCATAAAAATAGTTTGTAGTAATGAAATTTAAACTAACAATTATTTTTTTCACCAGAATCCAGATAATTTTCTTCATAAGGCATAATAGTAAGAGTAGGTTCATTTTTTGAAGTAATATTATTCTCTGAAAAATAAATAAAATTAGTAAATTATTTACACAAAAAAATGTATGGAATACTTTACTTTTAGCTAAGTACAACATACCTATTGGTTTATTTTTAGAAGTATGGACATTTTTGTCAATTAATTGTAATTCAAATGAAGTATCTGAAATAAATCATATAACAAATGAAGAACAGGTATTTTTTTAATTTCAATAATATTACCATCTTTGTTATCTTCACAATATTCAGATACATATTCAAAATCTACATAGACATCCTTAAGCATATTTAAAATATTAGTCTCAATATGATCATTATCATTTACATGGATTTTTTTTTCATAGTTCATATTATTTAAAATAGAATTGGATAGTGGTGTAAGTTTTTCTAATTTAATAATATTTTTATTGTCTTCATTTATAAGCATTTTTAAAATATTAGCTTCCAAATACTTTTGATGTAATACTTTCTGACGATATTTTTCTGCATTAGTATTAAATACAAAATGGTTTATTTTAGATGTCAATATTTTATTGGCATTTCTATTAAAACTATAATAATTTTTACAATGACACATGGAATCAAATTTTTCATCTGAAACAAAAAAATTAAACAACCTAAAAAGAAAATTATAAAAAAAAAATCTAATAATAATGAAAAATTGTGTAGTAACTGTTCAGTATCAATTCATATGTATAGTTTTTTAAAATGTAAAACAGTCTTACTTTTTGACTTTTTTAAAGAATTTTTAATCATACAATTCACATCATCATTTTTGGTTCCACTGATGAGAGTTTCAAATTTCCTTTTCCCATCATTTTTATTTTCATGGGTAGTAACATTTGATAACTTTAATGCTTGGAGTTCATTGATTTGGGAAATATGAAATATTTTTTTTTCAGGTACCAAATGATTATCTATTGATTGATCTAAAACATTATCATATAATTTATTTAAATTATATTCATTCTCAATAACTTTTAATAATTAAGAAATGTGAGATTTTACTCTTATAATCAAAGTATATAAAAAATTCTAACCAGAGGCTCCATTTTCAAAATTATTTGACAGTATATTATGTACTTCAATATTTTTCATAGGAGTTCTAGAAGTCTGATAAGGAATGCAATTTTCATTATTACCATTAAGATTCAAATTTGCTCCTTTTTTTATTAATGTATTATTTATTATTGGAATGTCGAAAATACTTGACAAATTATGTTCAGTAACTCCTAAATAAAAATAATTAAATACAATTCATTATTAATGTCATTCTAAGTAATTAAAGCTAAAATTATCTTGATCTAAGATAAAAAATATTTGAACAACATTTCATAACTCACCAGAAGTTTCAAATGATAATGATTTAGAATCAACTAATTCATTTAAATCAATATTTTGTTCTAATGAAGAACTTTTACTGCATTCATCACCAACAATATTATCTGTCACAAATATATTATTTTGGTTTGTTAAAACATTGAATTTTTATATTAATGTTAAATTGCATTTTATATAATTAATATTTTATAGCAAGTTAAATTATTTTAAGTGTAATAATATTAAATTGTAATAATAGATATCTCAGTGGACAAGTATGCACTTATAAAAAGTATAAAGACAATAATTAGAGGTTTTCTAAAAGAAAATAAGTATTTTGTTAACTACATTAAATTAACGACTTTCAATCATACTTTATAGTACTTGAAATTTAGAAATATATTGCTCTGAAAGTAAAAAATATCATAGTTTCATTTTTTTCTGATTTTGTTTTTTATAATTTTAAACACACTTAAAAATTAATAGAAAAATCAACATTAAAGTTCTAGATTATTTTACCATTGAAACATAAAACAAAGTATTGTTCTTCAACAATTAAATCATTAAACATAAACTAGTAACATAACATTTACTTGAAAATGATAAACAAATATCTAAAAAACTAATTAGCCTCCAGATATAATAGCACAATTAGTTATATTTGTCAATTATATTTTTAAAATTATAATTACTTACTTATAAAATTTGAAGATGATAATTCAGATTTGTATGATTTTACTTTATTTTCTTCACTTTTTTCTATATGAGAAACATAAGAGTCATTAACATATTCACCATGAGATGTTTTTTGAGTTCCAAATACATATATAATACAATGTAATATGTTTAAAGACTTACAACTTCATATGAAGTCTTATGATTATATTTGACACATTATTCAAACTTTTAATATTAAACAATAATACAATTTAGAAAATGAAGTTTAGTTAAAAAAAATTAAAGATAAATAATGAAGTCTCAAAAGTAAAATCAAAATACTATGTCTGTTATAATAAAAATATCCTATGTTTAAATACTTCTAATCATTACGCAACATCAGTAATATTTTTTTGATATTGACTTACATTTGGTTGTCAACATACCACCTTACAAGCCTTGGGATATATAATAATAATAATACATTCATAGAGGTATTTCTATATATTATATTACTGAGAAGTCAACTATTTTATTTATAAAATACTAAACAATCATTAAAAAACAATTTCAGATTATCTCTTAAATTGAGATTTAAATGAGAATAAAATATTTAAACTTAAGTAAAATTAACTAAATTAATACTACCTTGTTTACAGTAAGTATTTTCCATACAGAATTCTTGCTCCAAATGTCTAATAAACTCTTCAGTAACAACCATAGCTTCTTCATCATTACTATTTTTTTTTATAGAGTTCATTGTATTAAGATCTATAAATATATAAATGTAATAAAATATGTTGCACAGCATAATAAGAAATGATTATTTTTATTTCAATAATGCGATATTAAATTTAAAATAATAGTCATAACAGATAAGAAAAATACTAGTTAATGTGTCATTGTATTTACGGAACAATAGTAATATAATCTACATTACAAGTATTTTATTATTATAATATTAAAAAATAGATAATAATTACTTGATAATTCTGACAAATCATCCATGTTCTCATTAAATTTGATAATTTGATTAGATAAATTTGAAGAACTTTCAATTTTATAGTTAGTTTTAACCACTTTTGGAGCTAAAAATAATAATAATTTGCAAAATTTTGATTTAATTATTAAATATATAAACAAATTGTAGTATAGAATTGTACACTATTTTCTAGTTTTTTTTTCTATATTAGATAAGCTTATACATTATCTTGATTAGTTAGAATCAGTTTCACTGGGAAATTCACTTAAATCATTTAACATACAATTGTATATAATACCATTGATTATAAATACTATTATAATATTATGGTATTTATATTCAATGATAATATTTTTTATTTCAGTTTTGCAATAATATAATAATGGAATATCATAAAATAATTAGTGTCCAGGGGAAAAAAAATAAACAATAATATTGTATTAATGGATACAAATTTGTTCTCCAAAAAATGTTCAAACAATTTGGAAGAATCGAATTTGGTGATAACTAATTTGGGTGAGATAAAAACTACATAAGATGAAATTTACTTGATACAATTGAGGACTTGTGCAAAAACCGTGGACACAACTAGGGTAAAATATCATTTATAATAATTTAAATGCACCGATATGTATAAAAATAAAATATAACATAAAAACGTTTTTCATCATAAATATAGTAAAATAATTATGTTAGATAAAGTTTAATGAATTTCTTAGTCATAAAATATTTTTTAAATCAAACTTAATAAATATCAACAGTTTTTAAATGGAAACTTACGAGTTATATTTAGCTTTTTGTTAAAATATGATTTTTTGTTGAAATAAGTTTTTAAACCAGAATCTAAAATAAATAGAACATTAACATGAACATATATAAAAAAAAAAAATTAAATAATAATTTAGTTTGAATTACTTTTGAGCAATGTTGGACAATTTAATTCCGATTCAAAAATACTCATTGACTTAGATTCAACTTCATTTTTAATATTATTAATTTGAAAATAATCAACTTCTGATTCTGAATCTGATTCAAATAATGATGGTGTATTTTTTTTATTCTGAGTGGCTTGATGATGTTCAGGACATTGCGATAAAATATCACAAGTGAAAACTAAAACATAAATAAATATTCATTTTTTTCAAGCATAATTTTGGAACTTAATCAGGGCAAGCATTAGAAAATTATGACGGGAATGGGTTATAAATATACAAATTTTCCAATTACTTTCAGCAAAATTCAACAATACTAATGTTATTTAATTTGTTCATGAATGCCGTTCATATAACTGGGCCATTCGTAGAGGGGGGGTATTGCACCCCCTGAACTTAATACAATATTCTAGCTGCGTCCGCCGTCCATAACATACGTGCATACAAATTACTCGGTTTTTTTTTAAGTTTCTACTATAATTCAACCTTAAGTACCGTAAAAGTCGATGATAAAATCAGTTCACGCTGTCCCTCTTACTCTAAAAATCCAACTAACATCCAGTCTTATAAACGGCAAACATAGATAAATTTAATTACTTTATAGTAATTCATTCGTTACATAACTGTTGTTTCCATACAATCAATAAGCATATAATTACGCTTATCGTCAAAACACATTCGATCTCCCCAGCCCGGACACCCAATTTTAGTTAAAGCCAAACTCACAATCAATTCTAAAACGAACCGTATACATGGCGATTATTCAGGTATGGGCTAAAATCAAAACGACTCTACTGAATTAGTAGCAATGCATGAATAAAATGTATGGAAAAAATTAACTATTGAGTGAATTTGTGAATTTTACTTCAACATTTAATTGATTTAAACTACTAAGAAAACTAATGGTTTCTTATACAATATTACGTTAGAATGAGGTACTAATTAATGGAATTACCAACTACTTTGACATTAACGAGTAAATTTTCCGTCTTTATATTCGACTGATAAATATGAAGTAGATTTTTTGTTTTTAACTTTATCATTCGTTAACGAGTGAACAATTTTTGTCCAATAATACATCTAACCTACAGTGTTTTGATGTCATAATTTAAATATTAAATCGAAAACGCGGTAAATTAACGATGCACCACACAAATTTACGTAATGAATAATGTATTAACGTGTTGTCCAGTGACCATGATTTTAGAATATACTACTTCTAGTATATTCAAAAATCAATTCTGAGATTGGTTTCCCGGTGGTTCAATCTCATCCGTTTCTCGATCACTATATCATAATTAATTTTATTGCCATCACGTCGTCCGTCACTATCGTCAATTCAAGAATAACTCAGAACGTAAGTTGAACTTAGTATGTATATTGATTCGTGCGTAGTATAGACACACGCATGCGTATAAAGAAAATATAACTGACAACCAGTTATACTTCAAAATCATTTTTCAACATATTTAATTATTTATTATTTTTTCGTGTTATAATAATTGCAGATATATAATTTCAAAGTTTCCGATAACGCACTGCTCCTGTTCTGAATGCCAAGTCAAAATCAATAAAAAAATCATACAAACTTAAACTCTCATTACTTCTTTCGTTAAGCTCCACCTCATCAAAAACGATTAGAAACCAACATATTAAGTTTCCGAAAATAGGTACGCTCTAATTTCACTTGATAGTTTCTGAATTCGCTTCAAATTTAATCGAAAAATTTGAAAAGATGAAAAACAAACCCAGCACCAGAGGCAGACTGGTCTATCAGGAAACTTCCCAATGGACTCAATACTGTAAGAGCCGCTATCCTTATTATAACAATTTTTTTTTTTTTGTAAAATAAGCATAATAATCAAATATTAAAAATTTTAAAACAACAATTTTAGAACATTAATCTTTCCAATACAAAGTTCCTCTGTTCATAATAAAAATTGGGTGAGCTAAATCTTCTGACTTTTTACTATAAGGTTAGAAAATAATCATAAGAGTTAAGAAATGTTTGGTAACGATTAATTTGCAACAAGTTCAAATAATAAAACACAAAATTATATATTTTCAAAAATATAGGTAAAAGAGGTTAAAATCAGAAATGTTTTCAGTTTTCATTTAAAAAACAAAAGAAAATAATCATACATACCATAACCAAGATCCAATTTTCTTTTAAAAGCTGTCGTTGCTGATTTTTTTTTATTTTTTACTAAAAACAATAAATAAAATTATACAGTCTACTAGTATATAAAAAAAAGGTCAAAAAGAAATAATTATTTAATTATTAATCTCTAATGGCTTTCAGCTTATTAAGCCTTTAATTTTCTAAATTCATTACCATTTGAGCAGTTATTTATTTATAATATATGCATATTCTTGAAATAATATCATATAATATACATTTTTTTTAAGTAAACATGGATTAAGTAGAATAAATAAAATTGGTTAGTAAATACTACCAATGTATTTGAGATACTAAGACTATATTCAACATAATTGATTGTATATAGCGAAAAATTTTTTCAAATAATTAACAGTAAAATAAATAATTTAAACAAGTACTTACTTTTTCTAGAATTATTCGTTGATATATCAGCTTTTGATTTTGTTTTTTTGACATTTAAGTCACTTTCATTATCTTCTAAAAATTAAAGATTGATTGAAGTAAAAAAAAAGAAAGTTGACTTTTATAACTGTCTATATTTATTATATAAGTAGACGCCGCTTGTTAGGGACATGGATTATTGATACAATCGCGTTATTGAAACAAAATTTTTAGGGATGGATCGGCCGTATGTTAAAACAATGTAAATCAATTGGATTATTGAGACAACACATTGGTTATTTGAAACAATAAGAGCAAAGGTCATCTAAAAATGAATTGTAATAACAATGTACTTTATCTTATTTCGTTATGAAGAAAACCAGTCAAACTCTTGGAAGTATACAAAGATTGGATTAATGTGGACTCACACTTTGAAATTGCAGGAGTTTCAACACAAGAAATCTGTAATGCAGTTTTGAATCCTCAAACAATTTAACATGCTTTCATTGACGATGAAAAAGAAAAAAAAGAAGTATTCCCATGAAGTAAAGAAATTGTAGAAGCTATATGTTCTTAGGAGAGTAGTCTGGAGATCACCGTGTAAACAGAAAGGGCTTTGGGCGACATTATTCTTACGAAAGTATAATCATCTAGTTACTTGACGAAAAACAGCATACAACGATAAACGCATATTTTACTCAGCATATACATTTTTTTTATAATAAATAAAACAAATCGCTTATTAAAAACATTCGGTTAATTAACACATTTCACATGAATCCAAAAGTGATCCTAATAAGCGGTTTTTCTACTATATTTACAAATAGTGGTAGAGCAAATAAATTCAAATTTACATGTGTTATAAAGTATTTAATCATTCATATTTATGCATACACATCAATCTTAGATTAAATAAAAAAGAATAGGTTGAAAATATTTAATAATTAAATTTTGAATATAATATAATAGAAATGAGACAGGAATTGTTATTAAAATAAAAGTAAAAAGGAGAAGAGGATAAAAATGAAAACAATTATTGAAAATTATTGGAATTGGTGTAAGGATAGATGTAGACCTGTAGTTAAACTAAATCGGGTAGGACAAACAAAATTGTAGAGGGGAAAATGAAACAAAAATAATTTATGCCATCACTATTTATAAATAAAAAAAAAATTGCAATTTAGTTTACTTGTTAATTCTTTTTTTAATCTATTTCTTGTCATATAACCATTAGATGTGGTCTGGATAGCATGATTAATATCTATTTGAGAATTAACATCAATTTTTTTTCTTTTAACTGAAAATTAAATATATATATATAAATATATATACATATATTATGACACTAAAATAAATTATTTGATTTATATTTTTTTAAGTTTAAATCAGTACCTATATACAAAGTAAGTTTAATTACTTACAGCTTATATCATTGTTTGCTACATCACAGTCTGTTCCACTAGCAAATATTGATCTTTTCACACTGTTTTTCTGAAGATAAGATGTTGATTTACAATGTGATAATAATGTACCTACAAAATAAATTAAATATTTATACAAGAAGACACAATTCCAAATGTTATTTTTTTAAATTCTACTATATTCTAAACATAAAAATGAGCATTAAAAGGTTAGTTAAAAATACTTAAAATACATTATAGTTAATATATAAATTAATGAATTCATGTTGAACTGTAGAAAAAAAAACTTTATATAAAATAAAACGTGATTATTAGTGAATCTTAACATTTAGAAAAGCATTTATATAGTACCTAACTGATGTGTATCATTTTATTCAGTTAATTTGTTTTATAGCTTTCATTATAATAATAGAAAAGGTAGTGATCCTAAATATTGTAATTGTAAACAAATTATTGGCTGTTTCATTCATTAGAATATTAAATGATAAATTAAAAATAATAGAATTGGAATGCATCTGTGCAAGATAGATGTGTAAATGATCAATTTTTTTAACTGGTTATAAATGGATAATTTCATGTTTATATTATAATAGAAAATTAATAAAAGAATATGAAAATATATAGAATTTTATTATGAATTGAATAAATATTTATATATGAAGTTAAAAATAAAATAATAGTTAAGAATTCTTGGTTTTAAGTCTATCAATCTAAAAATTGTACTTATATAGTAGTGAAAAGGTACTAGGTGAAAATTAAATGAATAAAAGGAAAAAAATACTTACCATGATTCGGACTCATCATGAAGTAAAATTTTCGGGATGCAGTTACTGTTGGTATTAGCACTAAACTCACAATTGTCAAATACTGCTGAACCGGCGTAAATTGCTCAAGTACCCGTGGACCGAAATCCACATGTTATGCTGGAATACTGATAACGTATAAAAACGTTAAGCATTTATCGCTTGAGCCGGAGGTCATACCGACTGGAAGATATGTACGATGTATCTATATAAATGTCGGCTACCGGTAACCGTTTTAGTAGATATTATTTACAACAAACGAAAATGCAAAAGAAATATTGGATCACGTTTGGCCGGCGAATGCGTGGTTCCAAGGGAAACTCGGCGAATTCAAAACACAATGAAACAGTGTTCCCCACACTATCAGTCGATTTATCTTATTATCACGCGAACTGAACAAATACAAGCAAAGACCGCCTACGGTGTACAGAGTGCGACGGACCAAGTGGTTGCGGTACGAGTAAGAGCGAGATGGAGTGAACGGGTTAGCCAACGGTTATCGACGTAGATGTTATTCGATTATAAACGAACATTTTGGAAGCGGAAATTCAAAAGATTCGTTTTCTTTTAACTGCAGTCTCTGATTCGCGTTCGTAGATCCGACTCATGAAGTCCGTTTAACATTTGGGGTGGCTGCGATTTTCTGTGTCCGGTGTGGCGCGGGGTATTCGAGTCCGCCTTTCTCGGTCGCACTGCGGCACCCGTTTACCACCACCACCAGCGCTACTGCTGCGCTAAATACTATTACGTTCTTTGTCACGGTCCGCGTCCGCGATTTTGCGTAGCAGAATGCAGACGCAGTTTCGTTTTTGACCTGGAATTGCACGCTTCTCGTCGACGACCACGATGCACATAGCGTCCGCTGGTCTGCACGAATCGTACGAGGAACGCGATTAACCGCGTTTCAATAGCTTCAATAAACACCAATTCGATCATCAATTTCGGTTCTCGTGCGCTAAGAGTGCGCACGCACGTATGTTCGAAGGTCATACCCCGTGGACGTGACGTTGTTATTTTTCCTCGCGAGGTTTCCACGCACCACCGAGGAGCGCAACCGAACATCATTATAGATATAGTGAACGTGTGTTGTCTCAACCGTCGATTACGTCGACGTGTCGAATAGTTTGCAGTCGGTGCTGCTCGCAAACGAGCTGAACCACGCAATCCAACGTTTTAATGAGCAATATGGTTGTGTGAAAAATTCAAATTCAACAAAAGACGGGTCATCTTTAACTGCAGTGTGATAAAAATAATGAAAATTTGTTCTGGCCCGGCATACATCAAACACCGTCCCAGGTAATTTTCGTATAGTTGTGTATCGTAAGCATAGGTTTCGTTTTTAGGTCTGTTAGTGTGTGTATATGATGTATACTTGTGTGTGTATGACCATCATGTTATTATTGTTTTCACCCTTCCCCCGCCGCCGGAACCTCCTTACTCATCCCTACCGCTGTTGTTACCACCCGTTCGTCCATGCCACGCGGTGAGACTGGTGGTGTGTCGTGCTGGTAGACGGGTTGTTATTTTAATAATAATTTATCGATATAGTAGAAGTAGGTACATAGTAGCAATCGCATGTATGTGTATGTCGGCCACTGCCACGACAGAATGAATGTGTTTACCGGAGAGTAAAAAAAACTGACAAAACGAGGTCAATATGGAAAGGCCGCCGTCGACGTGTTACCTAGCCATTGAGTTTCGTTTCAAGTTCTGTATGTCGTTATTGTGAGCCGCCGCCGTGTCACTAGGGTATGTGCATTGTTTAAATTTTATTTACTTGATCTCGTGTCCGTCAACAAAGACCACTTGGCACCTGCCACAATATCTTCTCGTGACGATATCATCATTGAAACTTGGACAAACTATTGTTCCTATGTACTTTTGATGTGTTCTAACAATATCTGTTTGTCATCTATGGTTTCCATTCAGGATTTAGAAAACAAACAAAAAACACCTTCTAAATCGTTTTTCATTTGTTTCAATCTATTTTCGAGCTTTGAGTGTTACATAACATTGTGAAATGTTGTTAAATATTTACTTGATTGTGATTTAGGCTTAAACTAATTGACTAATTTACATCAAATTTTAATTTCCAGTGAAATCTTTTTGATTATACTTTTCAAAATTCTGACTAAATTGTTTTAAAATTTACCAACTTACTCCAGGGGCATATTTAGACTTATTTCTAGGGGGGGGGAGTGACTCTAATTTTTTTTTTAATTCAGGCTCAAAATTCACAAGTAAAATTTTTGGTAATATTTAAATCAGACGAATCCTTAATATTTTTGGTTTTTTTAACCTAATGCTGGATCCACTTACTATCAAATTTTGTGTAGTTCTTTTTTTTTACCTGTCTGTGTTTAAAAAGTTACGCTTGTGTTTTATTTGATTTTTCGCTGAGTATGGACCTGACAAAAAGCCCAATTCATTACATTCAATATTGACCGTGGTGTTACCACTGATCATTAGTACTGATACTGATAAAATATGTTAAATACATCATCATACGCATCCGTTTGTCTTCAATTATTATATTTCAATATGTTTTTCTATAATTTTTCTTATCATTCATTTGTATTTTATGACAAACAGTTTTGTAGAAAATCAAAATTGTTAATTAATTCAATTTCGTTATAAAACGATACACATTAAAAAAAATTTGAAATGTACTTCTCACATATAATCAATTCCTTAAATACAGATTCAGGGGGAGAAATCACCCCTTCGCCTCCCTGAAATATGCCCTTGACTTTCTGAAAAACCTCAATCTATCTCAAGTACCGAGTTAGCAATTACTACTTTTTTTGTATAAGTGATATGACCATCAATATTTTGTCTACTACAAGTTATAGTTCTCAATCTTCTGAATGTATTTTTTTATATTTATGGATTATCATATTTCAGGTGGTCCATATTAATAGAAAATTGAATGTACCTATGTATTTCGTAAAGTAATTATAATTATTATTTGTTATCAATGGACAAGATTTATCCAAAGTTTATCCTGCAATAAAAATAAAAAACATTGGCACTCTACAAAAGTTTCTAACTTTTTAGTATCTCAGTAAATTTTTTTTAATATTTGTTTCTTTTAGTAATGATTGCTTGAATTGTTACTAGTATTAATACTAATGGTTATATCAATAATATTTGCTAGGTTATCAAGAACGACAATGTAAAATGTTAATATACCATTATATTATGTTGATACGATTCTATTTCGTTAACTAATGATAATAATCCAATTTTAATAGGTAACTATTATTTTATTACGAAAAACTGATAGTATTTAATGGTTAGTAAAAGATTAAGTTTTGATTTAACTGTTATAGATAAAAAATGTTGGATTTTAAATCTCTATTATTAATAATATTACCTATTTGTTTATTTTATATTAGTATTTTTGGAATTTATTTTAATATTTACCTACATAATTTACTCTTAATCATTATCTAGATTAATCTTCTCCCTCACCTTTCTCCCATCTATTTGGGGTCAGCCCAGTGCTGTAAAAACCAGGTGTGCAGAATGTGCCGCACAGATGGACCACAAGGCTTACATAAATGTGGGGAGGGAGCGTAGTCCCAACTTGAAATAAACTACACACAAATATTTAATAATAAAAAGAAAATTTTTTAAAATTCAGGTAAGGTTGTTATAATATTTTAAAATAATATAATAATATTATAATAATATATTATTAATAATAATAATATTTATTTAACAATGAGTCCATTGAGAATTTGAGTAAGCATACAACATACCTACCTAAATTACTTAATTAAATTTACTACATAAGTATGTAGTGAAGTATAATATACAACAATTATAGGTATTTAGTTTGATATATATATACATATATCACACAATAACTGATGTGAAACATGTTTTAAAACCTAAAAAATTGATACTTGAACAAAAATAAATCCTAGGAAGGGGCCCAATATATTACTGCACACGGGCCTCCTATTATGTAGTTGCAGCACTGGGTCAGCTACCTTTGTCCTACATTTTCATCTGTCTCAATTTTCTTCATCCTGTCCAGATGTTAAGATCATTATGCTATAAAATATATAGAAATGTGATATTGAATAAAAAAGTATTAATACTTTTACTTAGTACTAGTATCAAAAACAAATACTGATATCAGTAAAGTATTGAAACAGAATTATTCATATGAGTAAATATCGAATAGAATTTGTATAGAATGAAAAAAAATTCCATACACTATTACCCTTTATCTGAAATAATAATTACAATTTATATAATATTTTAAAATTAATATTGATAAATTATACTATTTAAATATTTATATAATTATTATATTTATAAAGCAATGCTTAATGTTTATGTAATAATGTAGTATCATTCACTTTGTCTTATTTTTTTATATTTACTATATGTTTTTAGAATATGTATAGTTAATTCTACATTGAAAAAAAAGTATTTGATGCCACCCAAAAACCGATATGGTGGCAAATAAATGATTCGATACCATATATACTTGCATTGAATGAAAAATATTGATACTTTACTGATATTGGTAGTAACCCAACAACCTTATATGTATACTAAATTACATAATTTCCAAAAATATCCAACCATTAAAAGATATTTTGTTTGTATTTTTATTTTTATATTAATTATCTAATTAATAACTATTCATACCTAATTGTTGGATGAATTCATAAGACCCCTTGAGATGTTTTAAGTCTTTGAATTACCATAACTTATTTTAAAATTACATGAATTTTCAAGTACAAATTTGTATACTGGTGGATTCTAAAAATTGTTAATTTTTTAACTTTTTTAATATTTTTAGCATAAGGAAAAATGAAATAATACTTCATTTTATCCTGATATCTAGATGATATTAATCTAATTTTTAATATATATTTATATTTAATGAGTAATTATATATTTTATAACTGAATGCTAGGCTATTAAAATACATATATATATATTATACGTTTTACTTAATATTACATGTAGTTATTTTTCAATTATATTGAAATATACTATTTTGATTTTAATCTTTGCTTCAGGTTTTTAAAAATATTTAATCATATATCCTAACTATTATGCTTGTTTTTAAATATATACTTAACTGCTAAATTTTAGTCTTTTAGACTTGTGTTTTGAATATGAATATGTATCGATTTTTTTTTTTTATTACCTATATATATTAACACAATCATTTGAGTTACAATATTATATTAAATAGAACATAGTCTATTCTATAATTAATACTTTTTTGTATTACACTGAACTTCTATAGAAGCTTTATTTTAAATACCAATTATGACTTTCAAATCAAAACAAATACTAGGAACTGACTATTAAAAATAAAAAACTTACACCTGGTATCTATTTATCTTAACAGACAATTGGTTTTCTGTATTTATCAATTTATAAAATATTAAGCTTAAATAAAATATTTAGTATATTTTGCAACCTATTAAAATTTGTTATATTATTATTTATTTTATTTTCAACAATATTTGCTTGAAATTAAAGAAAAAAATTTTACCTTCAAAATTTACAAATTACATCTTAATTCTTAGTGTTTTTAATTTTTTGTCATAGATAATTTTTAAAATTAATGTATCATATCAACCTTGGGCTTGCTATTTGGATTTCTATTTAATTTTGGTAATAAATATGTTAATTGTTTTGATAGAGACTATTCATTTCAGTGAACTATTCTATAATTGTTTTTCCCATGACAGAATATTAGATTACATAGAAATTTACAATACAGACTGATAATATGAAACCTTGTTTAAATCAGTTATTATGTTCACGTTGTCTTGATTTCAATTGTAATTGCCTGTTTTCCTTTTATATATACTATATTCTTAACTTTTTGTTTGAGTTAAATATGTTTAGATTACTCATACAATATATTTTATAGTTTATAAATGATTTAATAAATTAAGTATAATTTTTTCTTTTGTTGTAGCAATAACATATTATATAATTCTTTACTTTTTTTGTCTTTTAAAACTTCTATTAAACATGATTATATCTAAGATTCTATGTCCTTTAGTATTTTAGTTATTTATCCATATTCAATGTTCTCTGATTAATGAACTGAAAGCTTTATATCTAATACCAATATTTGAAAGATGGCAAGCAAAAATACCTTAAATAATATAAAATGCAGATCTAAAACATTTTATGTTTAAACACCACAAAAATATTTCAATTATTGACTTATAAAATGTTAACCTAAATGTAAACCTATTGACAACAATTATAATTAATACTTAAGCTTGTATTTTCTTTAAATTATTTTATTAAAACTGAATAGGTATTTAACATTTACCTACTATCTATTTACTTTTGAGAAGTATTTATTAATTAAATATATAAATAAATAGATTATAAATACTGTACTTATATATAACTATATTTATATAGAAACTGTATAATTATGACCATATTAGGTATTAGTCAGAGTATAAATATTAATTTATTTGGTATATTTACATTAGTTAAAATTCAATAGATATGCAGTGAAGTCATTTGGATGTTATCTAGATATGTAAAATTATTTTATTTATTAACTTAGTTAAAAAAAAAACTGCTTAACACGGATGACTAATGAGTAATTATTATATGAGGAAAACTTACTTAAATATTAAAAAAAATTAAATTTTAGTTTTATTTAATAACTATATGCATAAATTTATAATAACAAATAATTTATGTAATGTATAAAAAAAAATGGATTTTTGTTAATGCATCAACAATAAATCTTGGATTTTTATTAAAATTAGATCTATTGTGAAATGCAAAAAAGGTCATAATAAAAATAATAATATATTTGTTTAAAAAATGAACATAACTCTCATTAATTTGTATCAAAATTCAAAGTTACGTTAAAGAAATTATTCACTGTTTGTTGTGTTATCCGATTTAATTTCAAAACTTTATTCTATAATTAAAATATATAAAAATAGTAAACATCAAAAAAAAAAAAAAAAATTAAAAGTTTTACAGTATCTTGAGTTATTTGTTAATAAAGGATAACATCAATTTAGACTTATCTATTTATATTTATTTTAAATTATTATAGAATCTTGTTTAAACCATTGTTATAATCACAACTTAAATGAAATATTTAAGTATAAATCTTGCTATGTATTTAACTTTATTTTATTTTATCAAATTTTATTTTGGTGGCTGAATATTTAATGATAGTACTTTAATAAATTATAACCATGTCTTATGTCTATGGCTATGGTCTTATATATTGTTGAAATATTAATTAAATAGTCCATAACTAGTCCTCTAGTCCATTATAGTATAGATTTTTTTCTGTTTGTGTAACTATCATTAATATCTGTTATTACATTCTTATTCCTTAATTGATCTCTGTAAAGTTCTTTTAGCTCAGAATTGTAACTTATTTCCGGTTACCTTGTTTATTCAATTTTTTCATAAAAACCTGGAATGTGGAATAGCATTTGTTTTCCCTACTGTTTATTATCAATCATCATTGTTTTTTAAAATGAGATAGAGCCGAGTAATATAATGAAAATTTTTATCTATTTTTGAAAAATTAAATTGATTCCAAAAATATTTCAAATATTTATTTTCACTGTTACAGAGTGACATGTACAGCAGTCAATCTCAAAGTTTGTGTTCAGACCGTCTGGTGGCTGATGAAAGTGTCGCAATTGTCACGCATCACAAAAAACGCAAGCTGGACCAACTACATAACGCTGCTTGCGGCCCTGAAAACTATCACCATAATAAATATAAATTGAGTTCGTTACACCACCATTACGAACCAATTGTTGAGTTGGTGCCATATGAACCAATCAAGTATCGAAAACATCATGGTACTTCTATTGCTCCATCCAATATTAAGACAAGTCCATCGTCTGCACATAATCAGAATTTTATACGGGCATCAACTATCAAATTATTAGATACATACCAACGCTGCGGACAAAAGGTAAAAATAAATAAAAAGTCAAAACTTTAATATTTTTACTATATAATTAAATCGTAAAATACTAATTTTAATTTTGTTTTTATCTTTGGAGGATGAAAAACAATATGTTTGTTGGAAGTTTTTGAATTGATTAATTTTGTGTTGAATTTGAATAATATTAAAAATGAAATACGTTTAATGTCCTTTCAGTTTTTATTTATGCGATTTAAAGCTTTCAGATACTAATCGACAATGATATAAAAAATAAAATAAAATTGTGTATGTTTAAAACCAGGTAACTTAAATAATATATTTGTTCATTGGTACTAGTGATAAAATTATATCTGTATTAAATCTAATGAGTAGTTCTTAAAATTAATGACTATATTATATTTCTTTTATATATTATGATTATAAGGTAAATTTATATTTATTAAAATTTAATAACTTTGTTTTGAACTGGGTTTTTTAAAAAAATTAATAATAAATAGTTATAAAAAATATAAATATAATATAAATTAAGTATTCAAATTTGCTTAGTTGTGTTAATTTGAATTAGTAACAAACGCTTGTTATCTGTGCATAAACCTAGTGTTAATTAGTCACTTTAAGACTGATTTATGATAAGAATTTTATAATGTTTACATATCTTCTATATTTTAAGCAGTGTCCCATTCAAATTTACTATTCTAAAATAGTGAGATAATGGTGTTAACAAATACATGTATAGATTGTGTGTGTAATAATGAATAATTGGTGTATTGTATCTATTTTTTTTTATTATTATTATTATTTTTTTTTTTTATAAATATTAGCGAAAATCGTGTGAAGGCGGTGTGACAAATGGTGTGGAGTCAAGTTGTGGCGCTGGAGGAGCAAATACTGCATCAACAACAACCACCACAACTACCACAACGGGGCAACAAGGGAAACAGGGTGCTGATGGTGATTATCAGTTGGTCCAGCACGAAGTATTGTACTCAATGACGAACCAATACGAAGTTCTAGAATTTTTGGGTCGAGGAACTTTTGGTCAGGTACACATGGTTTAAATCATATTTTCTACGTACAAAGGTTTAAAATATTTATTTTTAGGTTGTAAAATGTTGGAAAAAAGGAACAAATGAAATAGTTGCCATTAAAATATTAAAGAACCATCCATCATATGCTAGACAAGGTCAAATTGAAGTGAGTAACTAACCATAATTATCTAATAGTTATTGATTTTTTTTCTACCATTTGATGAAAATTTTTTATATTATCATGTAAAAGATTATTGGTTCAAACTTCTGTAAATAATTTTAACTTCATTAATTTACTATAAGTCAATTGTATTCAACTATAGCGCCTAATAAATTTAATAATGTTATCTTAAAAATCATTTTTTGATGAGACCTTATTATAATTTACACAAATTTATGTGGTATAAATTATACTGTATAATATTATTATTTTATAATTTCTACTGTAAACACTTGGTTTATAAATATTGTTACAGTTATTTGATTTTTATAAAGCGTGGGTCAGTCTTAGAATCGATATTGTAATCAGCTGATATTAGTGGTATTGTTTGTTTTTTTCAAGAATGATGTCGCGATAAAAATATACTTATAAAATATTAATAACAATTGTATCACAAATCACAAAATATGTAGAGTACAATTTGTTTTATATTGATAACACTAATGGTGCAAGACTATAGTAACAGTTAAACAAATTAAAATTCGAATTATTTTTTTTATTAGTATTTTTTCATGGTTTTTGCCTAAAAAATAACATTTTTAAATTATGGAATTTATTATGAATAATTGTGTATTGGTAAAAATGGTATCAGCTCATCTCTAATATTCTTGGTACTCGCACACACACATGAATTTTTATTTTTTTTTAATTTGTTTTATGATTATTTTATTTTTAATTTGTTTTATGACAGAATTAAGAATTACTTGTATTTGTGATTCAAATGATAAAATTATTATGTATCACTGTGTGCATTTAAAAATCCAATGTAACATGTTATATTTATTTAATTTAATATTTAAGGTGAGCATTCTGTCACGATTAAGTCAAGAAAATGCAGATGAATATAACTTTGTTCGTGCCTATGAGTGTTTTCAACACAAAAATCATACTTGTTTGGTGTTTGAAATGTTGGAACAAAATTTATATGATTTTCTCAAACAAAACAAATTTAGTCCACTTCCATTGAAATTTATTCGACCAATATTACAACAAGTTTTGACTGCTTTATTAAAATTAAAGGTATTTTTATCTTTTTAATATTAGTTTTTATTTTATGTTTAAATAAAACAATTTATTTATAAACTTTTTAATATAAAATACATTTAAAATAGTTAATACTTCATTGTTAAAGTGATAAGTTATAATTACATTTCTTATGTAGGATTTAGGTCTTATTCATGCAGATTTAAAACCAGAAAATATAATGCTTGTTGATCCTATCCGTCAACCATACAGAGTTAAAGTTATTGACTTTGGTAGCGCATCTCATAAAAGTAAAGCTGTATGTAATACATATTTGCAGAGCAGATACTACAGAGCTCCAGAAATCATTCTCGGTAAATATTTTGATAAATTAATGTATAAGAATATGTATCAAAATATGATTCATTATTATATTTTTATATCTTTTAGGTTTACCATTCTGTGAAGCAATTGACATGTGGAGTTTGGGATGTGTAGTAGCAGAATTATTTTTGGGTTGGCCATTATATCCAGGTTCATCAGAATATGATCAAATACGTTATATATGTCAAACACAAAATTTACCTAATTTAGACATGTTAACAAATGCTTCAAAGACTTCAAAGTTTTTCTACAGAGATGTGACATATCAAAATAATTGGAGGTTAAAGGTGGGTACTACAATATCCTTTGATTTTATTTGTTATAATTACCTAATTAATATTATAGATAATGGAAGAGCATGAAGCTGAAACTGGAATTAAATCGAAAGAAGCAAGAAAATATATATTCAACTGTTTGGATGATATTGGACAGGTAAATGTGCCAACAGATTTAGAAGGTGGTGAATTATTAGCAGAAAAAGCAGATAGGCGAGAATTCATTGACCTTCTTAAAAGAATGTTGTCCATGGATCCGGTAATTATTATAAGATCAATATTATTTTGATTCTTATTAAATTTTATTTTAAACAATAATTTTTTAGGCCAATAGAATACATCCTAATACTGCTCTTCTTCATCCATTTGTTACACTTGCACATTTAGTAGATTTTGCGCGATGTGATAATGTTAAAGCAAGTGTACAAATGATGGAAGTTTGTCGACGAGCCTTACCAGATCATCATTCAAGTTCTGGTCAAGCAGTACTAGTGCCAGCAACTAATGCTAATGTTACACTTACTTTTAATAATCAAGTAATTTATTTTAGTATTTATAATGTTTTCATTTTATATTATAATTTTATTATTAATTAACAGTTCTTTACTTTTACCAGTTTTTTGGATTTCTACATTCTCGTCCATAATCCAGTAACCTTTCATGTCACTCTTAATTCCATTTAATCATCTCTTTCTCTATATATCCTTTACATTAGTTTAATTTCTCCTTGTCTGATATACCTGAACTATCTCAACATATTCTGTGATTTTATCCATGATTAGTACAATTCCTTAATTGCCCTTTTTATACTCCCTTATCATTCCATATAGCCATCTTAAAGTTACAATTATTAAACTCATTTTCTGTTTTGGTTTTTGGTATTCTTGACCATTTCTTAATTTTTAATATCTACATTTTTTTCCCTTTGTACTTTTCTATCTTTATCATTATTCTACCTCTAATTTCCATATTCCTGTTAAACACCATTGTAATTTTATACAGGTATAAGATTATTATAGAATAAAAGCTGTTTATTTAATTTGTCTAATATTTTTATTAATTTATCAATACAATACAATATAATATTATTAATTGATTATTGATTACGTGTTTTAGTATCAGTTATATAATAGCCGTTCTATGGCTCGCCAGTATAGTAGTAGTTCAAATCAACATCAAGCTCATCTCTCAATACTTTGTTCTGCTGGTCCTGGAGCTTATCAAACTGGAACATCGCCTCCAAAACATGTTGCTGTTATGCCACCTCCACCTCATCCATCACAATTGCAAATACAACATTCAACTAGTTTAATTACACAACAGGTAAGAAAAAATATTATTTGTATTTTATAATAGTATAAGATATGTTTATTATTATAATTATTATTATTTTTTTTTTTTTTTTATATATTTGTTTAAAAAAGACCTCGCAATTGAGACCATTATGGTGATTTTAGTTCTATAGGTTGTTTTTAGTTGAATGATAGAACTCATAAATAAGTTGTGATGGACAGGGTCAGATCTAGCATACTTTTTACTCGGGGCAAAGTATAAAATTAACACCTTCTCATAATTCAGCCCCTTCTATTATACTACTGTTGTACTTATGTACCAGTTGCTCTCAAAAAATAAAAAAAACCTTAGATACTTAATTAAGAAAAATGTGTACTTTAAAATGCGACTTTAAAATTTTACAATAAAAACATTTTTATTTATATTTATATATTTATCAACGCCATAAGGGCATAACTACAATATAGATATTGATAAAAAATGCATTGGAGTAAAAGTAAAAGAATGGTGTTACAAATAGCTTCAATATGAGTAAAAATAAAAATTAATACAATTTCTTAATTATAGATGGCAAATAATCATAAATAATATCCATATTTGACAAATCATTAAGAGTGCAACATGCGCATTTAAAAAGTACTGAGTATCCGTAGTTACTGGCATAGAATTTTGTTTTAAAAATTTGAGGATATCTTAAGTAAAAGGAAGGAACTACTAGAGATAATTTAAATAGTAAATCAGGAGCATCAATATAATTATTCATAAGTTTATGAATAAAGGTAACATCAGATTAAATTCATCTTTCAGTTAGGGTCTTAAAACATATCTTTTAACCTAGATATCCAAAATCATTATAGAAAATTATAAAAAAAAAAATTATCTGTTGAGGTGATTGTGTCTCCAGACAAACTATGTTAATAACTTGTTGTAATAGTTTGAAGAAAAATTTGTTTATCAGTTTTTAGTATCGTGATCATCTGGTTATTGTAATTTGTTAGTATTCTATTAGTAATATATTGTACTCCAATAATTAGGAACAGAAAAAATGTATATTACTGTCTTACACAAATAATTCTTATAGGAAATCGAGTTATTCATAGCTAAAATCAAATAAAATTGTAATTTATATTATAATATTAACTGTATAATGATTAAAAACTGTTTATATATTCTATTTTTTGATTATTTAGCACCTTCCCGATTAAGATTTCCAAGGTATGTGTGCCCGGGTTTGCCCTCTATATTTAGCTCTGATGTTAGATGAGTATGGGGACCTTTTTGGTTTCTTTCAAGATTGTCATTACACATGTAAAGCATAACAGTCAATGGTAGGGTTTCAACCAATAAATACAGTCACGACCACCTTATCCTACTCAGTCATGCCCCTAAAATATTTTAGTTTAAAAAATAATTGTATTGGAAAATAAAAAGGTTTACATTGAACTAGTTTATTATTTATATTTTTAATTGTTTTCATTATTTTGTTTAAACATTCATTATAATTTTAAATAATTATATATTTGAATACAATACAGCCTGGTGGTGGTCAGCAACAATATGTACCTGTATCCATGGTTGATGGAAGCCGCCAAATGATTGCTACTTGGCCAGCTCCACCTGGACCTCACCATCGTCAAATGACTATTGTTCCTCCACCTGGTGCAGGAACTGCTTCAGCTGCATGGCATCCTGGTTCTGCTGTTGCTGCAGCTGATTGGGCAGCAACAGTTCCCAGACCTCTGATTGTTGATTCAGCTACTGCAATCTTACAAGTAATATTTCTTTTTGATTCTATTGTATTAAATGTTGATGAATTAATTTATCAAAATAATTTAATATAGGATCAAAGACAAGTAGCATTTACAACAGCTGATGTTTATGAAGGTATATTGGATAGCCCAACAATGGTTGGTACCATTTGGGGTAGTTCCAATAATAGTGGAAAATCACGTTCAACTAAAACACATATGGCTCCTCCTCAACCCCATCATCACCATTCAAATTATCAACAAGCACCACCTGCTCATCACCATCACCATCATCATAGACAAGACAAAAAAGATACTGTTATTAATACAGTAAATCAACTGAGTCCAGTAAAGAAACGAGTGAAAGAAGGAACTCCTCCTCAAGGTTTTATTTAAATTATCTTGATTTTTATTGACTAGTCTTATTTGCTAAATATTTTTTGTATTCAGAGTATGATGGAAGAGTAAATAGAGGAAATTTATTATCATCTTCAAACAATATTCCGAATTGGCACCAACCTTCACCTACTTATAAACAACTGGTTACTATTTTAAAAATATTGAAAATCACTTTATATATTAACAGTCAATATTTATTTTACAGATTAATAATCGACAACATACTATAACTATTCATGATACTCCATCTCCTGCAATTTCTGTTATTACTATATCAGATAGTGAAGATGAAGCTTCAACAAAAGGGTAAATCTAATTTTTTGAATTTACTCATTTTCTTTTATTATTTTGTTTACAATTTTTTTTTTTTTTTTATCTAGAGCTCAGTTGAATATCAAAACTAACCGTAACAACCGAAAAAATGTAATTTCATGTGTAACAGTTGGAGAAAGTGACAATGAAGAACAACTACAATCGAAACCTTTGATTTACCATCAAAAACAACTTCAAAGTTTACGTTCAACACCAGTAATTTATCAATCTTCATCTAAAAATTCTAATATACAAGTATGAATTATTTGTTTACATAAAATTTTATGTTCTATATAGTTTTATTTTATTTGCTACTTCTTATATAATTTCATTATAATAAAATAAATCTCAAAATGTATACATGTTAAATTATATCTTGATAACATTTTCAGTTATCTATAGTTTGTACATGAATATACAATTAATAAAAACATAAAATATCTTATATTATTGATAAATTTATTTACCAAGAAATTTTCTATTTAAAAATATGCTGTTGATAAACTAAATCAAGGATAGCAAATAGGATTTTTTCAATGTACCAATTTATGACAAAATTAAAAAAAAAAAAAAAAAATCAGCCATGCCATATTATTTTTATTAACACAGAAAAATATAAATAATGTAAAAAAAAATATTAAATTGTTATTATTGTTTGTTAGAATACAACTTCTAGTTGAAGTGAACATATACTTCTAATAATCTAGTAGCCGCCACTATATTACAATATATAAATTATATTTTATTTTAATAAAGATGAGATAACAATATTTAGTTGTGAAATATATATTATTAATATGTGCAATTGATAAGTCAATGTATTGTATGTTAATTAAAAATCTATAAATATATACGGTCAAATGATAGTTTTTCAAGTGCCACTTATTTGCCCTCCTGAACTAAAATGTTCCGACATTTAATTTTTTATCGTTATTATAAATAAATACAATGGTATAAATAAATGTATGTTTTTTATCTATGATTTTAAGGACTTACTAAGGAAAAGCATGATTTATTCATCGAAGATATAAAATAATTGATTTAAATTTTTCAGAGTGGAGAATATATTGCTTGTCGCAATAGTCCTCCGGGTATAGAGTTAAATGGTGGCCGTCAATATTCTCAACATCCTTCAATTAACAACTCTCAGCAACCAATTTATATGCCACAATTGCAATTACCAAGTGAAGTAAAACATGAACCCCATTATAGGTACTAAAGCTTATTACAATATCTGATATTAAACTGTTTAAATATATTTATAATTTTATATTTCTAGTTCTTCTCATGGTACCAATACCATGTCCCAGTCACAGATTAAAAGAATTGTATCAAAAGGGCAACATGCACATCAAAATCAAGATTGTAGCATTTTTAATACTTCTGGAACAAACAAACCTGAACCACCCCAAGCTATTGAATATTACTGTAGTGGAACAAATTGTAAAGATCCTTATCATTATGTCACACCACATGATCAGCATATAGTATATGCTAGGTATTAACAATAATATTATCAAAGAATACTATTGATATTATTAAAATCATTATTAATTTACTATATTTTTTTAGTGACAAACGTTTATCGTACGCAATTCCATCAGCTCATAAACGAAACATTAATAATCCAATGGATTATCAACTACAGCCTCCGGTAGCACATTCAAGTAGAGATTCTCATATTATAAGTGCTTCAAAAACAGCATGGACCCAGCAAACAATACCAGTGCACCAAGCTTATAGGTACATTTTATAATATTACTATTGTCTCAAAGTTGTTACTTGAGATATTTTTCTTATACATTTTTCATTGTATTAATTATAAAATACTAATATTAAGTTTTTAATATAAGTTTTTAATAATATAGTAATATATTCCTAAATAATTTAGGAGCCATGTAGCTGATTACACAGCTGCTCATCTTTCACCACAAGCTCTTGGAACCAACCGTGGTCTTTCTCCATTGGCAGGTCAACCTTTATATCATCAAAGTGATATTTACCGCCGACAAGCTGTATATGTCACAACAGGTCAACCACCTACTGCTGCTGCTTATTTACCATCCCCACAAGTTCCAGCTACTGCTTTCACTACCGGGTAATTGTTGATGAATATTATATAAATGTCTAATTTTAAATTTTGCTAATTATATCTTTAATTTTCTCAAATTTTTATTTCATTTGCACTCTTAGAGCTTATGATGTTTGATAACTAATTATAGTGTAAAACTCTTCTGATTACCTAGTAGCCTGTATTTGTTGTTTAAATGTGGGTATATTAATTTACTTAAAGGTACAAATTTAATTTTAGTCAAGCAATTTAGTCTTGATCTTATTTACCTTGAACTATTCCTTTTTTAATATGAACTTCTTGATGTGATGTGTTAAGAATTTCGATAATCACTTCTTATAAATAATTTTATATAAAATTTATATATTTTTATATTTTTAGCCCTATTCCTCCTCCTGCTCATCACGCAAGTGCGAGACCATTACTTACTACCCACGCTACCCACCCATTACCAGCTCACATGCAACCAACTGCTGTCTATGGTTATTTAAGTCCAGCAAAAACACATCACCAATACCAACCACTTTGGTTTACTGAGTAGGGCTTACCACAGGGGTATGTATTTTAAATAATACTTATATATTATCTATTATATTCATATCAAATTAATTAAATCTTTTGAAACAAATATCTTAAAATATTTTATAATTTGCTGACTTTTATATATTTAATAATATGTAGTCTTTTCTAGGTCTGACAGAATGGCACCACTACTTAACAACACAGATCGTCTAGTCATTAAAGTCAGACCTCTGTACATGTTAACAACAATTGATAATGTACATGCCTAAAGTAATGTACCCTATTTAGTAAATACTTTATTTTCAATATTAATGGTTCTTTTTGTTTTATTGCAAATTATAATTTTTAAATAATCATTCGTTGTACTGTCAAACGAAGAAAAAAAACTGACATTTCAGACTTTAATATTGCTTATAATTAAATTTCCTTCACTTAATTTCTTACTTGACCTTTTATATAATTACCATTTTTTTTTTTTTTTTTTTTTTTTATATTTTTTTTTTGGTCAAAATTTTTAAATTGCATATTTTTTGCTTTGTATATACACGATTAGTACCTTGTAGAATGTATTGATTTTATATTAATATCTATATATATTGATATATTTATATATTATTTTTTACATTACAGAGTTCTAAACTTACAAATATAATCGTGTAAATAGGATGAATATGCCATAACTTACTCATTGTTTTCTTTAATTATAATATTAGTGAGACTTTATTAACTTATTTGACAATTTTTCTTATATTTTTAGTATAGTGTTAGAGGAAAGATATTTGTAAAATATATTTTTATTATATTAGAGCTCTACATACACATCATCCTATACATTTTATTTTTATTATTATTAATGATTTATTAAATAATATTATTGATTATATATTATAATTGTCACATGTGTTATATATTTTTTTTTATGTTTAAAGTGACAATAATTATTGGTTTAAAATACTTACAAAACTAGAATAGTTTTACAATATGGGTGATATTATGGGTTTTAGACCTTTGTAGTAATTTTTAAAAGTTATTTTAGTCTGAATAAATATCAAAATATGTCACTATTAGTTTTAAGGTCAACAATTGCTAAAACTTTTGATCATTAACTTTTTGCTTTTCAAATTTTTATTTTTAAATTATTATGGTAATGAAGTTCTATAAATTATATCAAAATAATAAATTACTAACCAAACCAATTAAAAATTAACTAATCCACTTTAAATTTAAAAATTGATATGGACATTTGAAGATAAATTATATAGAATATACATTTTAGTTATTAATATTATTATTTACCTATATCAATGAAGCTTATCTTCAATACATGTTATATACTAAAATGCAAGTTACATTTTAAATCAAACTTTTTTTTTTTTAATTTATGATAATTAAACTTAATGATTATAATATTATTTAGAATAAATTGATGATATAGTTAAATTTAATTGTTATTTGGACTGTATTAAAATATTAGTATTTTTTTATAAAGGAAAAAAACTATTCAATAATTAATTTGAATTTTATGACTTACTCTTAGTGTTAAGTATAAATTTTAAATGTTTATAATAATGACCATTGTCAATTGAACGTTATCTTAATTTACAATAACATTGCCAATTATATTTTAACTTCTAATATAGACAACATTAATTATCTCTATATATTACTCATATTGAATGATAATTTATATTTTAGCCGTGTGCATATACATATGTAGTCATTTATTATTATAAAATTTTCCGTATAAACATTTTTAATTTAGCTATACATTTTTAAAAAAAATTAAACTATGTTGGTGTTAGATATCTTTGTACATAGAAAAGTATATTTTTTAAATATAGATTAAAATGTTAATAGCTTTTTTTTATATTGGGGCTGCATTTTAACTCAAATTATTTATTTATAGAATATTAAATTCTATTTATTTTTAGCAAATTAATTGTTTAGTCTCAACATTTTAACCATCTATTTAATTTAATCTAAAATATTCCGAATTTTGTTAGCAAAAAAAAAATTAAATTAAATTTAGGGAAAATGTTTGGTGATAGAATTTGTAACAGTTTGCCTTATGAGTTAAACATTTTTATATTTTATACTTTGATTGAATTTAATTGATCAAAATCATAAAATATGTATTAATATATGTTCTATTTTTATTTTTTTAATACATAACTCATTTTTGAAAATTATGAAATTTCATTACAATAAAATTTTTTCATAGTATATTACATGAATATAAATAATATTTGTTGGTTTCATACTCTTATTTCATATTTTCTTTCAAGAAGTACAAAATATTATTTTGGCTTGAATTTATTTAAACTATAACATTAATAGTAATCGAGATATTATATATTCATGTAATACAAATTTTTAACATTCTACGCCAATTACTAAATGTTAATTGTTAATTTAGGTTTTAGTTGCGCATTTGTGATTAATAATTGCCCATAAATAGCTGCTAATAGAGGAAACTAATTGATACATAAGTTATTTATTAGATATTATTCTTATACTTTACAGGGATTTTCAACAAATTTTTTTTTTAACTATTTATTAAACATTGAGGGGAAAAAACATAATCATATTTTAGTAAGAAAAAAAATAAAATAAAAATAAAAAAAAATGAAGAAAAAAGTATATATATGTTTGTATCAACATTTTTAGTCTTGCACTCTTATGCAAATTTATATTAATATTAAAACCGTTATTAGAAAAGATGAGCTTAATGTCTATGTATAATGCTCATCATTAGTAACCATTAAAAAATAAAAATGTTTTATTATGTTAATTATATATTATGATTATCTTTGGACCACTAAATAATAAAACACGTTTTTGTAATAATAGTATTAAAAGCACTTGGCTAAACACATTTTTTATAAGTGTTGATGTGATATAATTTAATACAAGTAATTTTGTTTTTAAAGCACCTTAAAAATATATCTATTGTATGTTTTTTACAATGAGTTAATTATTTGGGTCAATCATTAACTATAAAAGTTAATATTTAGTTAATACAAAATATTTATATATAAGAGTTCCTTTCTTAGGGTGTCGGTACAAATAATAGTTATAATAACCATATGCTAATGTATATTTGAGTTGTCATCCTATATATGTGTATAATAGTTAGTAATTGATTAATATAAATGTAGCTTATTTATTACGGATCATAGATAATTTTCAAATTACTAACTCATTAAGTCTAATAATAATAAATTTAATAGAAGTTGTAATAACCCATTATTGTCATTAATTATTTGTGATTTGTATGCGATTTGAAAGTTTGCAATTAAGACATTAAAATACTAGCTGTGTATGGATAATTAATATATAATGATATATTTTTCTTTGTTATTTGACTATTATAATAATAGATATTTAGAAAGTAGTTAGTATTTTATTATTTAAAATATATTTTTTAGCTCAACGATTATTTTATTATTATAATTTCTATTTGTTTAACATTCTCTGTATTCATTTTTCATTTGTTGGATTATTAATTATTATGCTTAGTATTTGTGTATATACCATTTTATGGTTTGATGTACCTTTATACTTTTTGTGATAATATTAATATATTATAATATATACACAATGTATGTCAATAATATGATGATGTACAATCAAAACTACTAATTTGTTCATATTATCTTTTTTTTTTTTTTTTTTTTAATATCATTGAATTTTTGTACATACGACATGAATATAAAATAAAAATCTTATAAAACACACTTTACTTCAATGTAACCATTAATTGAAATTATTTTTACACATGACAATCTATCAGTTATCCACTATAGTATTATTTCATTATGTTGCTTCTTGGGACATATTTTTCCACTTTTGTATTATTATATACTTAAATGTTAATTATTTACTTTTTATGAACTCATTTTAATATATGCATATTATATGTTAATCATGTGTATATATATGTGTGTGTGTGTGTGTGTGTATGTTTTAAATATTTATACGCATACATACTCACCTTGAAAACATGTTTAATTGTATGTTTATGTATTTTTTTTTTCTTAAACAATATTTAAATTTAACAATTTCTCTAATTAAAAAAAATATAAAATAAAAAAATGTCACTCTTATATATTAAACAAACTTACGCATTTTGTACTGTGTAAAATTGTTTGGATATTGATGAGATTTTTGTTTCATAATCTTATTATTATTAATCCTAACCTATTTTATTTGCTTTTTTTACTTTTTTAAGTATCAATCACAATCATCAAAATTTAAAAAAATACATAATCCTTTATGTTGTGTTATATACTGAGAAATGCGTGAAACAACACTGATGTACAATTACTGTGATATTTATTAAGTAATATTTTTACCTCCGATTTTTTTAAGTGCGGCTACGCTAAGTGTATAAGACTGTCAGCCCCTTTATTCCCTTAGCTTGAGGTCCGTTTTTAATTAAAATATATTTTTTATTTTATTATTTTCACAGTATGGATTGTATTCATTTTATTTTGTGTTTATTCTTTATTTATTTTCCTCCTAACTTTTATATTGGAAGATATCAAAGCTAGTTAATTTGAAATGTAGTATTTCTATATTGTCACTCTTAGGTTAACCATAATTTGTACTGAATAATAAAATCTTAACTTACATGTTTGTTTATATATTATATTATATTTATAATCTTATAGATTTATTATACTTAATCCTCAATGCTTTTATATATTATTGTTTAATTATTATCATTGATATTATTGTATTTTAAACAAATATTGTCATCTGCATACATTTGGTTTTAGGGTATTAACCTATTGGAACAAAAAAAAATATATATATCTATGTATAAAATATGTCCTCTAACCTCTTTATTTAATGTTCAATGTACCTGAAGCCAACACATTAAATTTGATAACTACATCCATCCTTTAGTGTGTTTCTTTCTGTACTTGATTCCTAATATGTAATTTCAGTTAAATTATATTTCACATTGCTAGAAACAAATATTAATTATGTATGCCACTAACATAAATTTATTATATTGCTAAATAAGTATTATAAATATATTATGTTTTGTTAAAATTAAATTGGAGTTAGTCATATTAAGTTATCATTTCATCAACAGTTAGTTTAAGATATATATTTTATTAAACTATCTGATTATCTTGAATGCTAAACTTATATATGAATATAAAAAATATATAAATATATACATTATATAATCACAATTAAATCAAAAATCAATAAACAAATATAGTTTTGAAATTCATTTTGATGATAAATTTTTATTGAAAGTCAGTCGTCTTCTATTAGCTTTTCGTGGGTTGCACCTAGAGCCTGTAAATTAATAAACTATACATTACTATGTTATAAATGAGTGTGCAAGTGATTTATACATAGCTGATAGACTATCCACATAATTTTCTCAAAAATCATCTTTATTATTTATTATGTATATTTATATATATTATAGTCCATACAACTTTACTATGTAAATAAAAAACAACTAAATAAAACATTTGAAATTCTAAAAAGATTTGTTTGTTACACTATAATTCTGTTATTTCTAGTTATGGCACTGGCATCTAATGCCGTATTTAGAACCTGTTGGGCCCCAGGATTAAAATTTCATATGGGCCCTTTTGACAAAATATGCTTAATAAAACAGGGTGCTACGCTCGTAAAAAAATACATTTTTCAACAAATAACAAATTGTATTATAAAATTATATGTGTATATATGAAGTAGCAATATAAACATGGTAATTGAGTAGTAATTCCTTCTCAATTTTCCATATTGTTAGAAATACGGGTTAAAACTCCTAGATTAGGTGAGACTATGGTGAATGTGGTATTGTTATATAGGACTTTTAAACTAAGTCGGTAGACAAAAAAAATGTCTTAATCTTTTTGGATAAAATGTGGACGGGTGGGTGATTTCTATCGCTTGATTATTTCATATAAACCCAATCTGTCCCTAATCGCACACCATGTATTTATTTACTTATTTATTTAACCAAAAACACTCGGTTGTACTGCAAAATGTTCGTCACTGTTCGATGTGTATACAGACTTACTTTGAAATATTTTACAGTCTTCACTTTCAGTTCCATCGTGGCGTCCTCGTCGCACACTATAATTGTTTTTGGATGCTGTTGAAATGCCGAGACAGTCCACATATGATTGACCCCTTCCTCGATGGCTTTGTGTAAGGCAAACGCCTTATGTGATCCAGTTGTCAGTATCATCACCTGTAGACAAAAAAATTATTACCTGTGATGAAGGCAATGCACGCAGAATGATCCAATATAATAATTATAAATTATTATTATTAATTAACGAATACTAACTACTATTTGTATGCATTATACATATTCATATATACTAGCTGACCTGACAAACGTTGTTTTATCATATAAATTATTTCTAGAGAATATTTTGCTAGAAAAATATAACTAATTTAATACAAATGTGTAAGGATGTGGAAAAGGTATGTAGTGCTGTGAACGGTGACGAAATATAAAAATGAAAAAACATCAAACATTTATTTTTTTTAATAATTTATTAAAATTGATCCATTAAAATTACCGCTAATTATGACAATATTAGTAAAAAACAATATCAATCCCTTAATGCAACAGAGTGTACAATATTTTTCGTTATCCCATCTTTCGCCAACACAAACAAACTGGATGGTTCGAGAGCACACCACGTATAATTGTCCGTGTGAAAAACATAATATGCTCAAATGTAAGCTACAGACAGACATCGTTTGGCCTTAAGACTTATTGATAGTCATTGCAAATGCCAATCTAATTGGAAGTTGAAAGTGTTTAAATTGTATTGACACATCTGCGGGTATAATAGAGATCGCAGTAATAATATATTTTCACCTCAGAATTAGCCATTTAAAATTATGGCTTCGATAACACATTGTTTTGGCACCTGTTGCGGGATCTTGTTGTTTAATATTTATGCAATTTTCGTCATTTAATACCAAAAATAAAATTAATAGTTTGGCTCAAAAATTAGTAAATTAAACTATGATTTATTAAACAATAGCACTTAAGAGTGTGAAAAATAGATAAAAACCTATTCGTAGACCTACCAAATGTATATACAAAATTTCATTAAAATCGATTAAGCCGTTTTGAAGGAGTATGGTCACAAACGCTGTGATACGAGATTTTTATATATTTATAGATATCTGTTTGGAGAGTAGGACTGTAGAGATCATAGTGGATATACATTGTTAGCATTCGTGTAGATTGTACAGTGTCATTTAAGAAGTTGGCGAAATCTACGTGGTTGATCTTATTTATTGGTTTATTGGGAATGTTTATGTTTAATTTATTACTAGTATGAGAGTGCCATTCATATTTTCATAATAATTAGTAAACATTTAAACACGTAGTAATTAATTGGAATTTGCTACTCTAACCGCTTGTTTATTACACACTATTTTTATGTCAAAACACGATTTCCTTCAGAAGGATTGATCCAAACATCACAATCATGGAATGTTTCGAATAGGCGATGTTTTGTTTGTCATTTGACGATTTTCTAATAGTAATTGCAAAAAACTGACAAAAATGATCAAATGAAACATACCGGTTTTGAAAAAAATCAAATTTTAATCTTAATTGTTACAAATAATCATAGAGACGTAAAATTTTTCACTGAAGCTACCTATATCACTGTTCACTTTAAATGTTATAATATTCAAAACTCTTTTTTAAGCTATTTATCTAATGATGAGCAAATCAAGATCAAGATTATTGTAGGTCTTGATCTTGATTTTGTACTTCACGTCTTTGTTTTGCTGTAAGACTTGCATTATTTAAAATATAAAAAAAATTATATTCTTATTTAGGCTAGGAGTTAGTAAAATTTTGATGATTGTTTATTATAACTATAATAGTATAACATATATATACCTATATAAGAATATGTATATGATTCAAGTATAAGCAATTCTTCAATTTACCTACAAATGTATATAATAATAATATAATATGTGTAATAACTTTAAGTGGGTTAATATAAAAAAAAATATAGCCTAAAAATGATTTTTTATATTTAATGTAAAATAGAAAAATATTACTGTAAATTACTGTAAATACTAAACATGTATAACAAGCTATAATTATAAAGAAATATAAAAAAAAAATCATAAATATCATTAAATTTATAAAAGCTTTTTTGACAAAAAATTGATAAAAAGTAGATGTAAATGCAAAGATTCGGTACCTACTAATTTGTTCCAGTGCTTGCGTGTAACTAATAATGCTTTGAAAAAGAATCTCTCTGCAGGGACTGAGGTGGTTGAAATTTATTAAAAACGTCTTGTCATCTTAGCTAATACAGGAAACTGTACTTGATTTAGTTTCCACAACATTAAAATGTCTTTACTGCTAGCACTTCTTGACTGACAGGTATTTTTCCAGTTCTTGCTTCCTATTCTAGGAATATAGCACATTGAAGTCTATAAAGTCTTCTTTGTCTGGAAACTCTGACACTGGCTCTGTTTAAATATACTTCATGGATTTTTTTAAATTTTCTAAGGCTTCTTTCTTTTAATTCTACTCATCAAGGCGTTAAATCAAACGTTTCTGCCTTATGCCTTGGATCTAGAGTGAGTTATGTGCAATAAATCCAGTTTGATTTTTTTATGTTTTAGAATTTTACCTTGTGCAGCTTGAAAACTCAAAATTAGTTGCTCGTCTATTTAAGTGCTTATGGTTTTCTTATCTGACTGCTTTATGATATTTTCTATCTTCTCAAGTAAAAGATTAAATGAAACAATAACACGAGGAAAAGTTAAATATTTTTCACCACCATTCTTATTGTAAGACTTTAAATTTATTAAAAATTTATACACTTTTTCAAATATCAATCATTTGACTTCAGAGATTTAAAATTCTGTTAACTTACATAAAATACTGCACAATGTAACGATACTATTTTTCTGTTATAATGCTACCCAAGCATATCATGAGTTGAATTTCATTTGGTAGGGCAGTTTATTAATGTTGGTGTACCTATTATTTCATATATCGAACGAAACATATTTTTCAATTTTTCGCTTCTATTTTACTGAAAATGGAACGTAACTTCATTATAGCAGTACTTGAGTTTTCTATCTGTATTAAATGGTCCTAAAAAATAGCTTCATCGTTATCCTGATCCAATTCCTTTTCAATTTCATTATCTGTTTAATTTTCACTATCTATTTCATCTTCACTCTCTTAATCAGTTTGTAATTTTAAATTTTTCATTAAATCTTTAACACCTAAGTTTAAAATATGTGCCATATAGCGAAAATATTGATTTTCTGCATCGAAATCGGGAATAAATTTTTCAAGTTAGCTCATAAATTTAGTGTTGCAGATGTACTGTCAACAGTGATACCTTGAACTTAAAAAGAAAATGTGTCTTTTGGTGAATTTTTCTTTAAAAAAATAGGGAACAATACAAATTCCAAAACTGTAAGACTCTTGCAGTGAAGGTCTTGTTTTAGCCTTGGTCTTGTAGACTCAGTCTTGGTCTTGTTATAAGACCTAAACAATTTTGCTCATCACTATATTTACCAATATTTAAAAGTGTCATGTTTTCAAACATTTTGATAAAAAAAATTTGGTTTGGCAGAAAGTTTTTAAAAGACAAAATGATGAAAATCCACAACCATAGATCCATCCGAATTCTTTTACTTTGAATCGTTTTTCGAGAACAATGGTACATTGTTTCAAGTTTAAAATATCAATACATTCACCTGTCCCTGAAACTCATCTGATCTAGGGGTTTTAATCATTTTTAATTAATACCTGTACGAAATAATTTTTTAAAATAATTATTATTGTTTTTTTTTTATATATATATATATAAAATATAATTTATTCGGCCCAATGTTATGTTTCCATCTTCTAAATACTCCAAACAAATTAAATTACTCTAGAATTTTTAAATATTGAGACATTGGTGGGTTATATTTACTATTAAAAATATATAGTTTTAATTATAGGTACCTATAACTACGTACCTACCGAATTGTAAATATAAATTTTGTATGAAAATTAAGATTTTATGAGCTGCGCTAGCCCTAATACTTCCTGAGCATATTGCTAATATTTATTATACTATAGGTTATTAAATAAAACACCAATTATTAAAGATAACGTACCGTTTCGGCGTCCATAATTGTACCAACGCCGACAGTCAGCGCCTGTTTAGGGACTTTGTTGACGTCGTTGTCGAAGAACCTGGCGTTTGCCTCTAATGTCTCCGAGGCTAAAGTCTTTACTCGAGTCCTGGACGCTAATGATGAGCCGGGCTCGTTGAACGCGATATGACCATCCGGACCTATACCTACAGATTTGATTATTTACTTAGATAATACTTGTACATAATAGAATTATGAAGTATGAATGACTCGAACAAATGCTAATCATTGGTGTCATCGAGTCGTACCATAATCGTTATTAATATTTAATAATTGTTGAAATCACGAATGACGTGGCTTTTAACATAATATATTAAAAAGGAAAGGGGACTCATAGATATTTGATACGGTGAACTGTTTATAGTTTATCTCTGTCTGTGTGAACATACTTTTAATATCACTACAATCTAAAATCTACACACAGTGGTAAATTTACCTCATTCGGTTCAATACTCTACTAAACTTAATATTGTATTTATCTAGACTTACCTCCGACAAACAGATGAACACCACCGGCTTCTTTGATCTGTTGTTCGTAACGCAAACACTCGGCCTGTAGGTCAGCTGCGTTACCGTCCAAAATGTGCGTATTCCTTGGGTTGATGTCGACATGTGTGAAAAAGTTAGTCAACATATAGTAGTGATAACTTTCTACGTGATCCCTTGGTATTCCTATAAATCATAATACAAAGCGTAAACCAAACGTTAGAATTATTTCGGTAGCGGCTTAATTTCCGTTGTCATTATACAAAATCGAAGAGCTTTTAAAATTTAATTTATTGGCATATTAATATTTACTTTGGAAATTAAATTATTAGAATTACATTTTTTACTTGTTTGATATGTAATCATAAATTATTTTGTAATAAATTCATAATAGTATTATTTTTAATTATCTTATGATGGATTTATTTTATTCCCCCAATGGGAAGAACCTATTATTATTTTCAATAGACGTGCTCTCGATTATATCAAGTTGAATCTAATTTACGTTATTTATTTTATGCCTAAAGTAATACGTAATATATATTTTAATAAATTTAATATGTATAATCATTAATTACCCACGTATTCGTCCATGTTAAACGTCTTAACATACTTGAAGGAAACCTGTCCGGATGTGTAATAATTTTTCAAATACTTGTACATACCCAATGGCGTTCCACCTATATTTTGAACAAATATAATTTTATATTTTTGAAGAGTTAGAGGTTAATCATAATTCGTCGATTTGACATCACGATTGGAATAAATAATCATTACCTGTCGGTAATCCTAATACAAAATATCTGTCTGGTCCCGGGTTGAAGTCTTTTATCCTCTTCACTATGTATTTAGCGGCCCATTCCGAAACTTTGTCGGCATCATTCATAATAATTAGTCTCATTTTTTCTAGAAATGAAATCGTTGAATAATTTGATTAAAAGTACTTCGCAACAACAACTTTAAGAGAGCGTCGAATCATTAATGGTAGGTACATTTCAATCAACAATAAATTTAACTAAAGTATTTGTTTATTTTTTTTTTTTTATCGAGTATACTGAACATCTCTATTTTGTATATAATTTGATTATTAGTTTATCTCAATTAAATGTATACCATTAGTTGTTTATAGCCGTTTTACGATAAACATTGAATAATAATATAACTTTATATAACATGTATTTAGCAGGTATGTATGATGATATTACTCTCTTTTTAATGGTAGATATATTGTTTTTGTGCTAATGCATACATTGGAATCATAATATATAGATTTAACCTTTTAAATTAACATCTTAAGTCCAAAGGGCATAGGTTATACTGTTTTTACCAATTTAGGGAACACTGAATTTATCGACCGGATTATATAGGAACAGTAACGCAATCAGGATTTTTTCAAGGGGGAAGTCCGCCAACGGTATAATGTACAATATAATATATACACGAGTACAGTTATTTTCTAAAAGCTTATAATTACAGAATTTCGAATCTCTACTATTTAATATTTATTGTATTATCTTATAAATCTACCATTGTAATTATTTCTGTGTTTGACATTCATTCGATAAACTGAAAATCATTACCAACATTAATTTTTAGATATAAATCACATATAATTTTAGTAGTCACGTTAAATATAAATACATATCAGAAAGTTATTATTCATACCAATAGTAATAGGTACTAATTTTGTTTTTTCCCGAGTTAACTCTTTGATGATGTAGCTACTGTAGCAACTGAAATTTCACTAGTGAGTATTTAACGTTGCTAATCTATTTATTCTACACGCTAATATTAAGTTTTTGAGTTATGTTTTGAGCATTTTTAAAGTTTTTTTTAAAAAAAAATCAGTTATACTTTTATTAGTACATTTCATCATTTTAGTTCTTCGATGGCAACAATAACATTCGAACAACTGAACTGATATAATAATAACACGTAGGAGGCACACACAGACAGTCAAACAAATATTATATTATCCAACTTTTAACAACCATAAATCGAAAATATTAGTTATTAGATACCCACTACTTGTGTAGCATTTCCAGGAGGCGGATGTATTGTCGATTTTTTGGACAAAATAAAATAAGATATACACTTGTGATTATCATAATTATAATAATCATAATAATGTGTTCACACATTTGCAACAATTTGTTTATTTTAGGATAATTGTTGATATATTTCAAAATTTGTTCTATATACTATATGAATAAAAGTTATTATGTACATTAATAAGTTATAACACATAATTATTTACATTCAGCTGCCATAATAGTATTACTATGTGTTCTAATAAACCTTATGAATAAAATATGACGGCAGTTGAAGTTATATATTTAAAAAAAAATGTCAACAGTCATTGAATACAATTTCTATAAATTTAAGGGGAGTGTTTAGACACCCAAAACACCCCCCTTGTTTGTGCCACTGTATAGAAATAAATCAAATTTTTTTTACAAGCTAGTGGTTAATAAATACACATTTATTGACATATTTCAAAATTTTTATAATTTCAGTATGCACATGCACAGTACAATAAGTATTTTTTTAATAACAACACCTTAATTGAACACTTTCATTCACTTTCAAGAATGCCTATTTTTTTAAAGTAATTTTAATTTATCAACAGGTGCGGATACAAGAGGGACTATGAGGGCTGAATCCCCCCTCCCTTAGAATTAGGTAGAACCATATGGGACTAGGTAATAAAAATATTTAAAAAATTAGACATAAAAAAAACTGTACAAATCGACATGCGCAACGAAATTTGGTAGTAACTCACTTTATTAGCCCCCTCCCCTTTTTCATTTCTAGATCCGCGCCGATACTTTTAGTTATTTATTTATTTTTTTTATACATATATAGCTGTTATAAATAAGATTAACATACTAACAATTAACTAAAAACCAAGAAAATGTGCAAATGCTTCTAGTTTATGGTAGATGCAATAAAAATTCTCGTCAGTCAGCAGAAATGTATGCTGATCAATACACAGGTAGGTATCAACCACCATACACACATTTTATTAAAATAGATAAATTATTGATTAACCATGGAGTATATTCTGTAAAAGTATTCAATAACGGTCCAATATATGACCTACAAATGTTATTCGGCCTATCGAAATAAAATTATGTTGATCTACAGATTTCTTTATTGCGTTTATTTTCGCTGTGGGAATCTTATTCTATTTTATTTTTGTTCTACGATACTTATAATAACTAATACTTGACTTCATTGTCCTCAGTCAGTATAGTTTTGTTTTCATTCGTGTGCGCTTGTTTTGTAAATTTTTATTGTGAGACGTAAGTTTTATTTACTGTGTGTGAATTTTTGTATCTTAACTCAACATAACATCTACTATTGGTCGCTTATATATTATACATGTATATGCACATTATTAGAGTTAAGTATCATGTGTTCAATATTTAAAAAACCTAGGGTTATTACTGACCGATAATCCAATAACATGTATTAGATGAAAAACTGTGATTTATATAATAGCCAACTTGTAAATATTTAAAAAATAATACAAAACAAAATTTTGATGGCACTATGAAAAACTTATGAAACTAATGAAGAACTCTTTTAAAAATTATTAAAATTGAAATAAAAACTGAAATTTCGATTTATGGAGAACGTACTCAACATTAAATCATCATGGGTTTATTCATTAGTTAACTAATTAGTTCATTAGTTAACTGAATTTTTTATTGATCCGGAAACAGGAGCACACAGTCAACAAATTGAAGGCTTAGGGAGAATTATAAAATCCAAACATAATAATAAAAAAAATGGGGCGTCTCCTTTACTAGAGAGACAACTCTAATGAAAGAGGTGGAGATCATGTCAAAATCCAAAAATCACTTTTGATGAATTTTTGGCCAATACGAAAAAGACATTTTCACAACAATACAAACTGAAACAATATAGTTATTGACGACACTGAGAAGTGAAATATAAAAAAAATGTTTTGTATTTTACATCTATGAAGTATGTCGCGTATTGGACCGTTACCAAGTATTCTGTAGATTATCTAGAGTAAATAATATTAATGAAGAAGAGGAACTTCAAGTTTTAACTTACATTAGATTAAATTCACAATCTTCTATAAGACTTGTAATCGATTAATTATATGTTATATTAGGAAAAAAATCAATAAATTTCAACAAATATCTGAACAGCTTGAACAGCTGTTTGTCAGTGAAAATGCGTTCAGTCAATGGCTGCATTTACAAAGATATTCGACAGTAGGTGGAAAATGCAATAGAAAAAAAATGTCAAATCGAAAATATTGGCATTAATAAAACAAAAATAGACAACTATGTATGAATTTTCAAATCAAATTAACTTTTATAAAATGAGAACTGGATATATTCTTTGTAAAAATGTATGTTAAAAGGTTCTCGATGTGGTAGATTTAGAATCCTCTCCCTTGTGCACGGGACTGGGTGTTGATTTTAAAAAAACGCATATTTTACTGCGCCATACCAGAATGATAAAAATTTTGAAATGTGTCTATAAATGTATATTTATATATCATTAGCTTGTAAAAAAAATTCGATTTATTCCAATGTAATCCGGCCAAGAGATTCAGTGTTTCTTAAAGTGGTGACACACGGTTACCTACTTATCTACTTATACAAAACAATAAAAAATGACTAAATATGCCTGTGCAGGTGGTGGTAATCAATAATATGAATGGGAAGGTAATATCATTGATTATAGAATTTATAGAGTTTATTATTATAGAGTTTTATTAATAATTATTATTAATTTAGTTTATTCTATAATCAATGGTAATAGATACCAAAACTATAAATTAATATGATATCTTATCAGAAATTGTGATGCATTATAATGATGATGTACGGATTTCAATAACGTGAGTTGTTTTGTGTCTAATATTAATGTGTGATTAGGTACCCTATACAAAGATATTTCCCATATTTTACTCACATAGGCATATACGTGCGCAAATCTGTAATTCAGGGGATGCCTTTAATAATTTTATGTCCTATTTTAATAAAACGTTTAACTATATTTAATAAATTATAATATATAAATAATTAAATAAACATTATTTACTTAATAATGTGGTATATTGTTTAAATAAATAAGTTTTCTTTAAATTTAGTATATTTTTCTCAGATAGTTTCAATTATTTATGATTTGTACTTTTGTAGCTGTTATATTATCATGATGAGTTTTGTATGAAAATGTGTTTTATTTTTTCTGTTACAAAACATAAATTATTTTTACCAAATATTTTAAAACAAATTACATTTAATCTGAGCAACATAAGTTAAAGTACGGGCCCTTTATTCTTAGACTTAACATGCAAAGTTCCATTTACAATATTTTAAAGGGTTCCCGGATCCACCTGGAATCCAATGTATGCACAACTATGCACATAGGTCATATATTGTAGACAAAATAGTTGGAAAATATGTTTTCTGTAATGTCTGTATTGTAAATTGAAAAAATCACTTTTAACAACATGTTATGTTTTTAATGTTTTTCTTCTTTTTGAGTGCATAGCATTTTTTATAACACTATTTTAGTATGGAAAAAATTTACCCACTTACAATAAATTAAGAACTATTTGTATGATACATAATGTTATTATTAATTAATTATCTTTTATATTATTTAAAATATGAACAAATTAAAACTCCAAAATATTATATGCTCCTTATATCTATAACCTGATACTTTAATCAGTTAATTTATCAGTGATAAAACACTCAAAATACTTTAGTTTACGGAACATCATAATTACATTAATTGAACGTTATCCGCAACAGCCATTCAATTTATGTCATTGACTCGTTTGTAAACGATATTGTTAGTAAAACAATAACATGTATATGCTATATAGGTTGTATCCAATTTAAGTATAAGTTGCTTTGTTTGACATGTTTCTAAATGGAATGAGGAAATCGTTGTCAATGTTATAATTACTCAAGTAGTTCTATTGTGTTAATAATTGATAATGATATATTAGGAAGTTTTGTCACTATAGATAGTACCTAGTTATATAGAATAATTATACTGCAATATTAATGTTTTAATCAATTCGTTTATAAACATTACCTACAGAAATCCTTCACTTACAGATATGCGCAATAAAATAGAAATAATATATATTAAGTAAAAAACAAACCTCGGAAAACTTGTAATAATTAAATATTGCAATATTATCTAAATTTTATTCAACAAATTACGTATCTGTTGATGTGTTGAAATGTGGAACAGAGACTAAATATTAATACGTCTATTTTACAATGATTTTATTTTATTGTATTTTTATATTCCCGAGTAAAGTTTTACTGATATGTCTTCAGAAAATAAAAATTTTATACTATGTCATCTAGACATAAATAGTACATAAATGAATAAACATAGAATTCCTAGAATTTAAAATAATTTTTTAAAAGCTGTCATCTTAGTGCCTCACTTGTTACATAAAGACACCCAAGTCCGAAAAACACTTGGTGGATAATTTATATATTCTTAATATTCTTCAAAATTTTTTTTCATTTTATAGTTGTCATATTTCTTTATCGTTTTAACAGATAGTTTATTTCGGTATTTTATACAAATACACCATGAGGCAAAACTTAAAAAAGATAAACTTTTATAATAGGTTTATGTCGTATATGTATTTACAAATGGTTGAATCTTTTAACTTTTAAATTTTATTTTACAATGTATAACTTATTTTTTTTTAATTTTTCCTTGATATTTTTAAAAATCTAAATCTGAGTCCAACTTAAATCGTTGTATAAACATTTATATACAATTATGCTTATGCCAATATCATACATTTGTACTCATATAGACATATATTAGTAGGTTGATTAAATTTACTTTAGTTATTAGGATATTTTAGGATACTCAACTACTCAGTGTCTCAGTTCTTCAACAATCAATACCACCAAACTATGTATTACAAATTAATATTTCGTTTTCAAAATGAGAGAAGTGGCAACTTTGATTGGATCAGAGATGTAAGTTCTAAACCACATTATTTTAGTGTGCAAAATAACCTAGAACCCGTGGTTATTCGATCCAAATGTAAATTGAGTTTATAACGCAATGAGAATTTATATAAATATTTTAGAGATGTATAATAATTTAATGTCAACGTACCAGTTCAAAATTATAAACATGAAAAAATATTATAGTATTTTTTAAGAAAAAAGTCGTGTTCCATATTATCAACGATTAAAACATTTAAAACACTCTTTCGGCAATAAAATTAGTGAAAGACTGACTGTTGCCTACCGCTGTAATTCACCGCATCAAATATTTTCAAGTATCTATGTGCATAAACTAATACCAAAATATATTAGAGCATTCACAGGTTTGACCTGGGCGAATCGTATCCACCATTTGTATACTAATAGGTATCAACCGCGTTTGAATGCAAACTTACCGCCAATAAATGATTCGCAAGACGACGAAATTATATGGAAATATTGGTTTTGGCGCCAGCACGATCAACGTTGATATTTTAATTATAAAATAAGTTAAATTATCATATTATACCGAACAATACAATATATACAAGCGCGAATGATTTAACGGTTTTTGTTATTATATTAAGACACAATTAAAAACACTTCGGGCGTGGTGTCGCTCGCGTATAACTGACGACTGTGACGAAGATGAATATTCACGCACGCGGTAGTCGGCCATAAAAATTGTTGTCATACACCGTGCGCGCAAGAGTGTACTTGTACTTTTTTTTATTTCCGAGCACAAATGCACACTGATAGTAAATATTTTAGCATGGTAAAGGGAAAAGAAAACCTTTTCTAAGGCAATACATTCCTTAATTCCTCTACTTATAAGTATAATCGACAATGATGTCAGTGCTGAACTTATGGGTCTCGGGGCTCCAAGGCAACTATATATATATATATATATATATATATATATATGTTTAAAATTCCACTTCTTTAGTAGTTGCCTTATATATAGTTGCCTATATATATATATATATATATATATAAACTACTTTTAATTTGTCTATATTCAGCATACTCTAAAAAAAAAAATCAAATTATAACACATATATATTTATCATATTCGTACATACCTATGTATATGTATTAAATTTTTTTTGGCCCTCGGACGAGAGCCCGGGTCCCGAGATAATAAGAGCACCTAGTTTGTAAAGTTCGGCACTGCAGTCTCATCCATGGATGACGTAGGTATAAACGGCACGCGACTGACAAGAATTAGTTGTTTTAACATACCTACTTGTATTTTCTTCCACCTCGAGGTTGCACACATTACAACTAATAAACTTGTGACCAAAAAAAAAAAATAAAAAATAACCGTTCATATATATTTCTATACATTATCTAAGCATAAAATTGGTACAGTTTTTTAATAATATAGTATTTCAAGTAAATACCTACATAAATTATCGGATTCGTGGTAACAAACGGAAGAAAAAACGATAATCATTATTTTGATTTGACTTACGAGAATCGAGATTTTTACCATCATTTTCACCGTACGTGAGTTATGTTAGAAAACAATTTATCCGTCATAATTTTTGATCTTCCAACGATAAACTCATCAGAATCGCTACGAAATAACTAGTGACATTAACATTAATTTCTTCATACATCGGGTAAACTTTAGGTTTTTCACAGTATTATTATTATTACAGACCAGATGTATACTGATTTACGCTAAGTTTGATTTATTTCATTCGATAGGAAAAATCTTTCAGTTGTTTCAGAAATTCTATAAATTACCGCGATTCGAATACTGTCTCAAGCACAACCACGATTATATATGTCATATAACAATATTTACTATTGTAGATTTTTCAAAACCGAAATTACACAAGCTTGTCCAATACAATACAGTCATTGAATTATTTAAATCATTTTTCAAAATACTAACTACTTATGTATTACATTACATATCACCTTGTCTCGCGAAATAGTCAATCACGATGAACACCACGTATGTTTCGATTTATTGATTAAAAATCAAGCACAACAGAATACCAGCTGCTGAATTATCTTATCGTAAAAATATTAAACATTTTATTTACGGAGTGTGATAGTATTATTATTAAAATTTTGGAAACAGAATCATAGAATTAAATACACAACAATACATGTAAATATATTTTTTTATTCGGGTGTTGAAAAACATTCGAAATCAATCAAAATTATCTTTTTTTATTTTCCCAACCAAATCAATTGAGAACCTTTGCCTATTAACATTTCATTACTTGGTCGGTAAAAACAGTAAAAATTTATTTATATTAAAATATAGTCTAGGGTTTGTTATAAAAAATAATTCTGAATTTCTGAATATTACGATAATAGAAGGTAGACGCAACTATCGTGAGAAGGACAAGAACGATCAACGAAGTTGGCTGCAGGATAAACCAGTAGAAGATTCCACAATAGGCAAAATATAAAATATAATCTGCGATTCTACGAGGAAATTTTAATATTTGGTACAATTCTATGGACGATATATGTTTGTTTGAGGGAAAACGAACAATAATCAGTTAATTCCGAACGTTACTGACAATTTCGTGTAGGTACCCAACTGTTAACAGCTAACGTTGAACGTATACATTCTTTACTCTATGACGTATACACGAACACACGTAATTATGACACGACGGCACTCGTCACTGATAAGTGATAACGGGCTCCACTGAATGTTATGATCTTGTTTTTAATTTTAATTTTGTTTTCGTTTATTACAGTTTTTCTCACAAGTTAATTTTTTCTATTTCATTATTGTTTCTGAATATCATTCGTTATGTCTTTGAACGCTACAAAAGCGCAAGGAAATGATTATTTCCTTACCAGAGAGCTGTTAGTAGCTCTTCTTGTTCTGATTATCACTATTGGTAATTTGCTGAATTTTTTTTATCCAAACAATTATTTATTTGATATATTAATATATCAAACTATCTCTTGTATTTTTAGTATTATTTGTCTTGTGGAAGAAAAGCCGTAAGGCTAATCGAGATGTACTCCTTGTAGGATTGTGCGATTCTGGTAAAACAGCTCTGTATGCGTATTTGTTATACAACAAACCGATACAATCCTTCACATCCCAAGTGGAGAACTTGGGCGATTATAAAAGCAAGAAAGTATGTTAAATATTTATATGTTAAATTTCAGACTGCAACATGTAATTATTCATAATTTTTTTACTTTCTAGAACTTGTTACGCTTAGTTGACATTCCTGGGCATGAGAGAGTGTTTACAAAATACTTGGATATTTATAAAAATACTTGTAAAGGTGTTATGTTTGTTATTGACTCAGAAACTGTAGAGACTGACTTATGTGATGTTGCCGAGTACGAAATATATAAGAATTTAAATCATAAAAACTATCTTATATTTATACATTTCAGGTTATTATATAGAATCTTAACTGATGTTACACTCCAATCCAACAAAAGCAAAATTATAGTACTATGTAACAAACAAGACAAACTTATGGCCAAAGGATCAGAAGTGATCAAGACATTGCTGGAAAAAGAACTGTATGTATTCAAACAGTTATTCAATTATTTGATGTAATAATTGATATTTTTATTTATTCTTATTGTTTTATTTTTCAGCGATACATTGAGGTTAACAAAATCAAATCAGTTGGAGAGTATTGATGGAAAAATAAATAAAACCATATTGGGCAAGAAAAAAAAGCGTTTTGAATTTGCACACTGTCACGTACCAGTTGAGTTTGCTGAAGTATCGTCTGCATCTCAAGATGTAGTTTTAGAACCAATCAAAGATTGGTTGGACAAAATTCAGTAAATATCAATATTATATTTGTAATTTATGTTACGAGTTATACATTATACAATAATGCATTAATTTTTCCTATCTTTATGAATTTTTTTTGATCTTGCTTCATTCCTTTGTTATATAATCTGGCTTAAGTGTTTTTAGTTTATTATAATTAGTTATTTTTATAATAACATTTAATTATTTTTCATAAATACTAACATTTATAATTGTAATTTATAATATGAATAAAGGTGTACAAATGTCTCTGAATTTGTCAGGAAAGGAAGATGATTCTAAAAATAGTGAATTGTTTTTCTTGAATAAATTGTTTTCGGATATATCTTTTTCCGTAAGTTTTTACTTTGTTATAATATAAAATTTCAATTATTAATTTTTTGTATTGAATCTGGTTAAAATATTTAAAATATTCTGGGATAAGAGTTTTAATTTTTAATTAATGGAAAATAGGTGTATAAAGTATAAATATATACCTATTGGCGAGTACATCATCTCATGTTAAAACCATAATAAATAGTATGAATGAGAAGAAAAAATCTCTGAATGTTTTTATTTTCTAAATATACTTTGATTAGGTCATTTAAATGCATAAAGTTATTAAATTAAGATTTATTTTCATTTTATATATATATGTAATATTAGTTTACATTTGTATTTCAATTTAATATGTGTTGTTTTGTATTATATTGTATAGTTTCTACCATTATTAGGTGTAAGTTTGTAAGATAAAACTAACAAATTATATTAAGTGTAAAAAAATTAAATCGTTTTTCTATTTATAAATTGAAGTCTTTATTTATCCTTTAATAAGTACTTAATTTATTCAATTAATTTTTCATATTAGAGAAATATACAATTTTAAACTGTATTTAAGTTGGTTACTCTGTTTTGATTAAAAAGCAGTGATATCCTATCTCTGTCTACCACATGTGCAATAGAGGGATTTGATATTTATAATTTTCAACATGTCAATTGATCTATACTAAAGGTAAAGATTTTGAAACTAATATAAATTAGTTATTTAGTTTACGTGTGAAGCTAAAAATGACTTTTTTAAATTTTAAATTTTATCCATGTAAGCTCATCTAAATATAAAAATTTATATTGACATAATTTTTTGAATTTATTATTTATATTATTGATATTTGATGGTATGTAAAGGAAACATGTTAATATAGTAGGTTCAAACTTAGTTAGATATAGTTATATTTGCCTTGGAAAGTTCTTATTTACTTCAAAGAACACAATTTTTAAAGATTAATGGGACACTAAGCACAGATGAATTTATCTCATGTGGTCTCCTAAAAGGAACTATACTATCTTAAACATTTAATCTACTTATAAATTACATTTTATCACTAAATGAAACACAAGTTTTTTATGCAGATGACATATTTAGTTATACATTTGTGGATAGTTGCATATTTTCAAATATTTTATTTGTGTATGTAGGAAGGGGGTTAATGTTTTTCTAAAAATTAAGTGATCTTATAATATTTTAAGAAACATGTATAAGGTATAAATTAATAGTTATATTTTTCTATTATTATTATAAATACAAATGAATAGTTACTTACAACCACATGGTATAAATTAATGTTATCTTTCTCTGAACCTTCGTAGCAAGTCATTTATGACATTTGAACTTATTTTTCTTTGGGGAATGTGAGGTAGAGACCCAGGACTCCCCCCCCCTTTGAAAATACGTCTCTGTTTATGACTATTAAATAATAGCTTATTTTTAAATTTAGAAAACCTTTTATCTTATTTCACTACCTAATAAAGATTTCCCAAATATTGATTACATTTTATTACATTCATCTGATTGTATTATCCTAAACACATGCTCATGTGATAATATATTAAAAATTAATTTTAATTTAAAATATTTAGGTTTAAAAATGTCACATGATCCAAAACTGATAGAGCATATTAACTTACTACAAAAGTAAAGAAACTCTCTTTGGCGTTTAAACAACTTCGATCAATTTTAAACAAAATTTAAATTAAAACAATTTACAAGACGTTTTAGAATTAACACTGACCTATATTATAATTGCATGGAGTGCCCATGTGCGCCCGCAGAGGGGGGCAAAGGGGCTATTGCCCCTACTGGACATTTTTACTTCAAAACTATTGTTAATTTAATACCATGCATATTAAATATAACATAATTTTATTGAGATCCATTTATGAAGTTTACAAAATATTCATTATATTTTTAGATAATCTAAAATATATAATCTTAAATGTATTTATTAGTTTACAATGTTTACACATCACTGCATATTGCTTAAAACTATAAATTTTCCTAAGTACCGATTTCTATGGTATTTAATTTTGTTGTCATATATTTTTAGATACACGTTGTTTTGGCCCTTAGAATTTTAATTTTGTCCCGGGTGGAATTTTATCTTGCGGACGCAATTGGGCCGTAAATAAAAACAGTCTCAATAAATTACTAATAACACAAAATAATATTCTAAGAATAATCTTAAATAAAACCTGATACTTACGTTGATAACTTGTAAAAGAAATGAAATATTTTAACAATAAAAACTTTTCAGAAAATAACAGTTACTTTCTCAGTAAAAAATAATTATATTAAACCTATTTCCCATAATTTTAACACCAAAAGTAAATTAAATAATACTATCTCCCCTAGTATACATAGGTCCACAAATCAATATTCTTTCCTATAAGACTTATTGGTTAGGTTACTTACTGGTTACGGCCCATTACATACACTATACTATGTTATATTTATATTAATATTTTATATTAATAATAAATTAAATAAAACTAAGTATTATTATCAAAAAAATATATTAAATTTAACTAGTTAAAAAAAAGTGTGTTTAATAATTTTAAATTACTACATAGATCATGCAAATTAATCGTACTACTTTATATTTTATCATTGTAATTTTAATAATTATTGATTGACTATGTATGAGTAATACTCAAAATGATTTAGACTTTTAGAGTTAACTTAAAGTTATATGTGAATTTATTAGATACCTTCTTATAATTTTTGTATTTTAAACGTGCAGGAATTAATATGAAATATTAAATTGAATTTTAATTAAACCCAGTGATTCCCAAATGTTTCAATTCGTTGCTCAATTTAGGAACTGAGGTTGTATCCTGGCGCTCTTGATAAAACTGATCACCTTTACTTTAGATAAAATAAATTATAATGAACAACTGGATAACGGTCGGAGCTGTGATACGGTGTCACTGACACCTCAGTAAAGACACCACAATGCAAACTTTGAAAACAGCTGATTTTACCTATAATTTTTAAAGTAACTAAAAGAAGTTATTGATAGTTATTACTAACTACATAGGTAACTAGTTTCAAGCTATCAAGTTAACTAGTTAAATAATATTAGCTAGTTGAATTAAAAAATACGTTGAAATGTATAACATTTTATTCAGAACCTGTGATTCGCGAGTATGTGACGGATAATTTTAAGTCAAATCATTTTAGGAAAAATCATACATCGTGCACATGCGTGGATAACCTAAAAGAAGGGGGACTATGAGGGCTGAAGCCCCACCCTTAGATATTAGGTATAACCATATCGGACGTAGGTACTTAGAATATTCAAAAAATTAGACGTAAGAAAGACTTTGTACAAATCGACATGCGCAACGAATTATCGAAATAACCCACTTTACTAGCCCCTCTTATTAATTTCGTGCATTACACCATAACATTATTAGTATATTGAAAACAATATTATAAACCGATAATATTAATAGTTGATAAGTTATGTTTATTTATAAAGTTTTATGATTAAATGAGTTTTACCGAATTCTTATTCATTGTACTTTTTTTATATTTTACGGTGGACCGATAAATATGGGTTGTACGGCATAATAATAACGGGTATTAACGTATATACTAAAAATCATTTATATAATTACTTGTTCGTTTACTGCAGTTTGCATTCGCTGCCTTCTTGGCCAACCACTCATGGCATGATAATAGTTTCGTCTGCACCACCGGCGTAGTCCAAAAACTGCAAATGATGACCGAACTCGTGCAGCGGGACGATAATGGCTGTATCACTAATACTGCTTATGATGATTTTAGTGCATTTTTAGACTCTATGTGCCATAACGAAGAATTGTTGAACTTTTTTAAAAAAATTAACTCATCTCAGGTGATGACACGCCAGATATTCTAGTAAATAATATTATATTTGAAAAATGTTTTGTATTTATTTTTTTGATGCGAGTACAATATATAATTTATAATGCATATAGATATTAGTTGAATATTTAATCTATATTAGAGAGAGATGAACAGTGACAGGGCACAAAAACATGTCGAGAATTAGAATTAATTAGAACTTACAATAATGGGAAGAAGCTGAGAGAGGATGGGCTTTATATTTGAATACTTTTGGAAAATTAGAAAATTAATGTATTTCGAAATGAAGTATAAAGCTTACATGTATTGATAAAAAAATAACGTTTTGTTGACGAATTAGGTTTCATTCTTCAGTAAAGTACTCACAGCACCTAATTTTCGTAAAAATTCATACTACACATTTTTAATGTACAATGATATGATACAGAGCCCCCCTTTACCCCCTTTCATATAATTATAATTTGTAGTACAATGTCAGTAATAATTTTTAGTAATAGCTCTTTTTTATTAATCAAATTACACATTATAATTAGGTAACTACTAGTCTGTTATTATTTTTTAAACTGAAAATATACCTTTGACTGATATAAATTTGAAAAATATTTACAAATTAGTTATTTTAATGTGGGATATATAATTTAAAATTGAATAGATATATCTAAGTCCTCGTCAGCTGTATTGCTTAAACTGGCTTCCTGAAAAACTTCATAGTAGTCAGTGGTGCATTTAATACATACGCGCCCCGGAGCAAAATAATTTTTCTGCCCTTCCCCCTTACCGAAAAAAAAATATATATAAATAAATTAAGTTAAGCAATAAAAAAATTTGTTTTTATCAGTTGTTTTGCGATATTGTATTAGATAATATTATATAGTAATACCATTGATTTTATAATATAATATATATATTGTAATTA